CACTGTGATTCCGGTTTCATGTTTGAAAATAGAGAAGTAATTTGTTTTCACAATTGGTGGTCGCGTTTGGGGTTCATGGTATGTCATTCGTTGAACTTTTGGCACCACAGGTCTTTCAAGTACAATTTACTACATTACCCCAATTTCATTGTGCTGTCTAGTGTCTATATTGACAACCGACTGATTAATTATCATTCATATTGAGAAGATATACATATAGGATTATAGGGGAAGAATTAAAAAATATATACCGTATATTTCGCATTTATACGCTTCTTAGTCCCTTTATTGTGATTTTGTGTGATTGTGGGTGCGATGGCCTAGCTAGAAGTTAAATGGTTGTAGCTACTTGCACATCGTTATCGATCTGTGAGTGCTTGTACAGGGTCGTGTTCGTGTTCGGGTCGTGTTCGAAGGTGCGAGTAAGCGCCGTGTAATATGACAAATTTATTTTAAATGGCTATTTTTTATTCAAGTTATAGTTTCTTCGGGCGTAGAAATATAGCGACACTGATATATGATAGATATATGAAATTATATGCTTTGTGGCAAACAATTTGATACATAAAAAGATAGATGCTTATACTGGTGTGAAACAAAGTTAGAAGTAGTATGAATAAACGGTCCCAACTTCAATTGCAACGATCCCCTCCGTAATTAAAAGGCTATTGTTTTGTCATATAGACGCTACATATGACGAACGGTATTTTTACTCTTCATTTACTGTCAACCGACTATTATTTAATAACCATAAGATATGAATTAAGGACGATATTTTACAACGGGTCAAAACTACAATAGAAATACGTTGCGCGTTGGAATGTACATTCGTTATAGTCATTTCTAATTAAATCAATGTAAACCGACGCCGTTTTAATGTATAAACTTCACGCCCTCTTCGAGTGTATGATATAAATATACATATATATACGTTGTTTTGGATATTAAGCAACATCGAAGTGTGAAACATGACAATGTATAATATATACATATATTTTTATTGAATATTTTACAACAATTGTCACACTATAATACACATAATATCACATTCCTTATTTCGTTATATCATGTTTGAGAAAGTATTTCTTTCGCGTCTCTTTCTGGTACTCGCGTATGTAATGGTTATTGTTTAGTTCTTAGGCCGAGGGTACTTGTGAGCATTATCCACTTGATTTGAGATGACTTGTTTTCGTTGTGTTTTACGCTTTCCTCAGCGCAGGTTACTTGACCAGTCAGGTCGACGCCACTTTGAAGATAATGGGCCGGCAGCAAATTATCGGTGCTGACAAAAAAGCAGAATTTGTTTACGACATCGAAGATAAACATCTGGATTTGCTAAGAAAAGTGACTTCAAACATAATTGCGATGATTGTATTTATAATTCAGCATCAATTAATTGAAATAAACGAATATAATTAATAAATTAAAGTTAAACATGAAATGAGCTTGCAATGTCGGTATGGAATTTTACAGGTTACAAGATTAGAAACAAATGTAAAATGAAGGAAGACTGTTACGATAAATTGTATTTTATTGTACTTATTGTACTATTTATTATGTAATTCAAGTCTTCGGACCTCGGAATATACGTAATATGACTTTTTTCGTAATAATTTATTGGTTTATTTTGCCGGTATGTAAATTGTATATCTATTTTACAGAATCAGTATTCCCGTATATATTTAGTTAATTATTTGGGCGTCGATGATTTAATTTTTAAGAAATAAGAAATTATCCCAGGATTTAGTACTCTGTTGTGATATCTTTGTCTTATTTATCGTCGCCTGGAGCTTCACATCGTAATCATGCTGGTAAAATTGTCAAAGTTGCGATTCCGGTAAGTATTATGCTTATTTATTGTAGTTTCGTCTTTATTTAACGGTGTTTAGCTAGAAAAGGTGTGTATTTCACATCGACAATCACGGTTGTTGTATTGTCGCAGGGTATAGTTAGCATCGAAGGAATAATAATTAGGAATAAGTATGATCATATGATCTCGAATGGCCCCCTCCGTAGGAGGCTATTGGACTTCCGTACCATATAGAGATAGACAGAGGGTTTGGTTTTAAAACAGCCGTTGATGAATGCCCGTAGATTTGATTCATTGATTGCCGCCTTTGATCCTGTGTACAGACTTAGAATAATTTACTCTGTTTTCACAATATTATTGTTGCGAGTGAGCCTGCAAAAAGTCAAGTTGCCATTTCAAGTAGAAATTGCATGCTCCGTCGATAACTGAAGCTTTTGCGTTTCGCTTTGGTCTGTATGTGACTTTTTACCTCAGTTAGCATTTGTCTTACCACGAGATTATCTACGTAATTTTGAATGGTGCGGCACGCGACACCTTTCTTTTTCCGTTTGAGAGGCCTAAAGTTTCAACCTATCTCGGCAAGATCAAAGGATCGCTTCAAGGGTTTTTCTAAGTTCCTGTAAGACGGATGGGTAAAAACTTATGTCGCATGCAATATCAGCATGCTTCATCGCGATTCTGTACGGTCGCAGACCCTGAGACCCGCCGAGCTATAATTTACAATATACGACATTTCTACTTACCGGTAACATACCCAATTTGGTGTACATATTATATGAATCTGATGCATTTGAAGTGTAAGTTAAATAGTGAGTTCAACTAAACGAAAATATTCAGAGATCGATCTCGATCATAATCTATACTTAAATGGTCTTTAATTTACCTATTGATCCACTTCAATTAAGTTTTAATCCACTTGTATGGGCTTGTAAAGTTGGTTTCTCTGCTGAACACCTATGATGTTTATTATCATACCTTTGAACACTGCGATCTTCTTTTTTCCCTATCGTGGGGTGAATATCGTTCCCTTGCGTCTTTTTCCCAGGGAGGCAAAGTATTCATTTCAAATAAATTCGTCGGCAAATTTGTATTTTTGCTTTGATTGCTGTTGCTGATCATATTTTCCTCTCCGGTAACAGCTAGCCGAAACAGTTACCGTTTTTGTGTATCTATTTAGCTAACCAATTTTAGTTTGCAAGTTGTACTTTTGTAATTGGTTCTTGACCTTGTCCAAAATCGATTTTAGCGGTCCCAATAACGCTCTTTCATGTTCTCGAAAGTTGTTCAGTTCGTGCATGTACGTCAAGTTGTTGTTATGCGGTAATTTTAAAGAGGGTTTGCCGAAGTTCTATGGGTTCAAAATACACTTCCAGCCCATGTTAATTGCAATATTTCCGATTTCCATTGTTAATGACGTTGAAGAGCATGTTCAAAGAGTCGTCATAACCTTTACCCAATTTTAAAGTGCAGCAATGGTTATGCTTGTTTTTATTCAGTTTACTTGCTTTAGCAAATTGCGTATTACTGAGTCTGCACCTACTTAGTTGTGATAGGCATAATTATGACACATCAGTTCGGCAGGTAGTTTATCTTTGTATTTGATAAATGATATAGATGACAATGCCAATCGCATAGCTGATATGGAAATTGTTTATTTGATTTGATATACAGTAAAATTAATATTACTAGTATTAATAGAGATTTCATTTGATGGTGGTGTGTAAATAATATCTAAAAACATGGTATCGTGATATTTGATTATATAATTTATGCGAGCACAAATGGTTTTACTTGTTAAAATAAAAAAAATTCATTTTTTTTAACATGTGTTAAATAACAAAATACCATATTAGTATTCCTAAAAATGTCATCACAAGTAAAATAAAATTTATTCAGAATTAGTTATTTTCATATCAACTATCGATTTTAATTGTTTTTATTTTTTTTTGTACTATTTACTGGTAAGTATTATTATGGTAAGTATTATTATCCTGGTTCAACAAGTTATATAATTCCTATGTATGTAATAACCCACTAATCCTCACTCGTGTCCTAAATAACTTCAGAGTCCAATGGTACTTACTACAGAGGATAGCTGTTTACAAACCGAATTATAGATTCTTTACAAAGCTTTGTGTTTATGTGATACAACATGTAAACAATAAGCTTCTAGTTTTAACTTTTAAGAATCTACTTTGCCTAAGTTTCGCAATCAATCATTTGGGGAAAGGATTTTGTAGCCATGTTCAACAAGAGCTGAGGGTTTACTACAGTGCTTTTGTCTCTTGGAATAGATATGAAGCCTAATCCTATTTTATTTATAATATGCTTGTAGCACTAGTAGTTATTAATTATTCAATTTAAATATATTTAGAATTATTATTATTTCTTTTTTTTCAATTACTTTTTCCTCAATTTTCAATATTAAATGTTAATGTGATAAAATGATGTTATTTGTGTTTTAAATGAATTTGTCAAATATTCCTATAGGTTTCATATTTATCTTTTATATTAATTAAAAGGGATCACTTTTTATTTCATATTGCATCCACATCTCAGTGTTCTCAGTTCGTCTCATACCGGTACAGTTGCGCAACCTGCGCATCTATATATTTGAGAATTATTCTCACGTTGATTTTATATTGTCATAATATATAGATAATTAAGAACCTGTTTAGTAATTGAATATGGTTTCTTAGCTGTAATAAGCTTTTTTTCTTGTTCTTGAAACTTTTCACCTCGGAAATAGGCAATATAGAGAGAGACAACTAAATTTGTAGACAAAGCAAATATGGGTTCAAGTTTCAAACCCCTGTCATTGCTTTTTTCAAAGCTCATCATTTTTTGTTGTTGACAAAACTCTTATTGTTTGCTTTATTAACCCTGTCATGGATCAATGACACTTTGTTTTATGGGTATTTGAGAAAGAACTATGATTTTATATAGTTTGTTTGACGTAATTATGTAATTATTCTATCCCGGTGTGAAAATAGACACTACCTCCTTTCGTTATTAGACTTTTACTTCAAGTATTCCAAACTATCTATTTTTGGAGTTGAAATAGATAGTAAGTTTGTCTTTGTTACATTGTGCTATACAATGCATCGTTTAATCTCAAGAGTTTCGTCCTATTATTCAAAGTATTGCAAAACTTGAAACATCTTAGAATGTTTATTTTTCTATATTTCAGTAAAGGAACGGAAGTTACCAAAAACAAGAAACGAGACTCGAGTGAATCACGAAAGAAAAAAACAGTGGAAGACGATGACAGTGAATTTGGTTTTAATCATGTTAATGTCAGACCAGCTTCATCAACGACATCAAGGTATTGAATCTAAGTTAAGTTCTGACAATTAGCTTAGAGTGAATTCATTCAAAATTGGTCCAGAAAAATGAAATTATTCAAACGAAAGTTGTATGGATTTTTGTTTAAAATATTCTGTTATGAAATGTCCACATAGATCCCTGGTATTGCTTGCATTAAAGGTAAATAATTTTTATCATTTTCTATTAAATCTATAATATCTTTTTTTCAGTCAATCTGCAAAACATGAACAACCCAGCAACAAATCATCACCATCAGCTAATTTATCGTCTAATAACAATAAATATGATCCAAATGTTCATCATAGAAACGGTCGAATTCCTGCTGATTCTCGCCAAAGTTCTCAGGGACAAAAGCAACTGAGTGGCCAAGCTCATGGCCCTAGAAAAGTACAAGATAGTTATCAACAAAGGAGTGTACCCAACGCTGGTACTGCACGATCTCCAAGTGGGAGAAAGGATCCACAGCATAGTGCTAAAGGTACGATAAAGAACGAGTTCGAGTGGTGGACTCGACTCGAGTTGGACTCAAGTAACCATTTATCAAAGACTTAAGTCATGTAGAGAGAATGACTCGGACTCGATATGAGTTATCTCAGTGAATGACAGGACTCTGATGACTCATGAATTGACTTGATTCATGCATGACTCAGAGTTTGAGGACTTATGCCATCACTGTAAAGAATGTCTGCACATAAACAGCCATGGATAGAAAAATTTCAGTCTTGTACTTCCTTTACTCTACCTTTTCTTTGCTGAGTATGACTAGTAGACAAATCCATCCTGTTTATTGTAAATGATCACCTGCGGTAATTGAGTAGATTCATCCAAACGATGGTTCCTAATCATACCATTGAGCGGACAGTTGAATTGTAACCTGTCATCAGTAATTGAGCGTTTTCAATTAAATTTATTTAATTAAATTTGGGGTACTTCACACCATACTCTGTGCAAAAGTATTATGTGCAAAAGTATTACATTAATAATAATTCAAGAAGTAATTCCATTTTTTCGAACTAATATTTAGATGGAAGACAACACAGACCTACTCATCGACAAGATCAAAATGTACCTCCCATGAGACAAGGTCCTCATCCTCAACATAAAAATGTAAGAAGAGAGAACGGTGAATCTGCTTACTTTTCAGATACATCTGGGGCTACAGATAGCAGGTAGCAAGCTTGTTAATTCAGTTATAATATTATTCTTTTTATTCCTCAGTTTGATTAAATTTTTTTTCTCATTCTAGAATTTTATATAGTCTATTATGTAGTTCTATGTTAATCTGTCTCTCTTAGTTAAGCATCCATCTTCTATGGAAAAGCATTCTTTTTGAAACTCTGGTTATATGAAACAATAGGCTATTAAATTATGGCTACTGTCATGCTGTTGATGACTAATGGCTTAGCGATAAATTTTATTGAACGAATTAACCAACATCAATTTTTATGAATTCTGATTTTTTCTCAATTTAACAACTAGGAGTTCGGTGCATGAGGTTAAAAATTCTTTTTATTTGTGAGTCGAATTCTTTTTCAGATGGTTAATGAATTTTGCAATAGTTTTTTGAATATTTCAGTATAAGTTTGAGTTGAGACGGAATTTCTGTTTCACTCTTTTTCTGATAGCTCTCGAATAAACCCATTCGCATTATTTATTAATTATTCCAACAGTCGATTCGCAAATTCAAGTGATCGTGGTAATGTTCAACATAGACAACAGAATGGTCAACAACATGCTCCACCTCAAGAAAAGTCAAAAGTCAAAAGACAAAACTCTCTTGTTAAATTAGGAGACTGGGTTATAAATCAGAAAATGAGACAATCTGGTGGCAACTTGAATTCTCCACAACGGTAAGAGATTGCAGGTAGCTGAGGATGATTTTCCCAGCGAAAACTACTACTTTTGAAACATAAATATATATTTACAGGTGTCCATATCTAGGTGTGTAAACTGTAAAATTATCTTCTGCTAATCGATATGATTTAAATCAGGGGTGTGCAACCTTTAAGGCAGTAGTGCCACATACAATAACTGGGTGAAACTGAGGGCCACACTTTTCCTTATTAACATAGGCTTCCTAGTAGTTGTAGACTCAGAAATTTTGCTTATTGATCTTGTAACATGCTTTGTTTGCTTCGCGCAAGCTCAGATACAGTATAGGCTTTACAACGCGATGGAATTTGAATTACTTGCACATACTAGATTAAGCGAGCTAAACACTCCTGATTCAAACTATTGTTAAACGAAATGATGCTAAATGCTAACACTTTAAATTTAGAAAAGCAAGATTTTGCTGCAATAAAGCTTCTATATTTCCATTGAAAAATAGTAATTCAAATGACTTTTTTGATGAAATTTGATCAAAGCTAGATCACAGGCACTCAGAAATTAAGGAGATTGATCTCTGAGCAATTTGGGTCCACCACTAAAATGCCAAGTGGTACTAAGACTATAAACAATAATTGGTGCTCCAGAAGTATGCGCACCAAGATGTCGTACAACCTGAATCCTAACCGGTACACACATACTATGTTCAGGTTGTGCGCCATCTTGGTGCGCATACTTCTGGAGGTCCCAATAATTTTATTTTCTTAAGTAATTTTATTGATCCAAATATAATATATAGTTTGTGCTGTGTATTTCAAGGGAGTCATAAATATTAAATTAATTGATGATGAATTCATCCAATGAAAAGACATTCTATTATTCATGCTGTTACATAAATAATGCACAATATATATTACACACCTTTCTTAATATTTATTAGGAGCAATTTCGATACTGCAAGTGAATTCAGCTCAGTGAGTCAGCAACATACAAGAAAAAGGTAAATTTTCCTCAACAATTTTATTTTGTTCAAATTACTTCGCCATTTATATTGCCTTTTTTAATATAATGTCTATCAACCTGCGGATTGAGATGTCTTTGAGGGGACGGTGATTAAATCTTTCAGACCAGACTTTTTAATTCTATTGATTTTAAACTCATGCAATCATATTGGAATAAATGGCTTATTGTATCTATATCTACTATTCTTCAAGTACTCTGCCAGTATTGTACATTTCTCGTTACATAATATAGAAAAGAAAATGAAGTTACTATTTTAAAACAGTATATGAGTATTACGAATATTATTAATGACTTGAGTCATATTGAGTCTTTAATGAATGGTGATTTGACCGAGTCGAGTCAATCTCTTGAGTTTTCTCAACACTGTTACGATCTGATATATGGTTGACAAACATACTAATAATAACAATGTGTTTTGTACTCAAACTAATTTTCAGTTTTCCTTTTAATTTATAAATTGTACAAGTTTTAAATATTGCTATCAACTAATTTTCTACGCAATTACATCTAACACAGACTTCGTGAGTGGGTTACAAATAACAAAAGGTAATTTGTGTGTTTTTTGTTGTTGTCACTTCTGTATATAATCAAGCACTTATCGCATATGGGAATGATTTTTGTTGCATGAACACTGTGTGGATGGAATGATACATATATGTTAAGTTCGAATCTAAGTATCTGTTACATTAGAGATTATGTTTATTGTGCAATATAGTAAATGGGCTTATATAGCTTACTCAAAATTGTTTAAAATAATGTTGAATTGAACGCGGGACCTTATACTCTTTAAAAGTGCGTCGAACTTTCTGGCTAGGCGCCGAATTTTTACACCCTGGGTGAGATGGTGGACATGAGATTTGAAGTTAAGATTTTCAACCAACATAATAAAGTTCAACGCTTTACCTACTACTTACCGCAATGGTTTCCATATTCCTCAAATGATTTGTTTTTTTGTTTAAATATTTTAATCATATTGAGAATGCAATCATTTCAAGATTTATGATTCTGTCTGCAAAACATTGATTATTATTATGATTTTAATGATTAAACGTTTTCTCACATGAAACGGAATTGGGTTTTGATAGCATACACTTGAACATTATTATAAAACAAATTTCATTATATATGTTTTTTCTAATAATCAATAACAACTCCAGATCAACATTATTTTTAGATAAGTGAAATATACTGATAACTATGAAAATATGCTAGAGTTAGTTGTCTTGAATTCCTATTATCTAAAAGACATTGTATTTATGACAAAAAGTGACAACGGTTACCTGAAAAAAACGATTGAACTGAAGCTTTCAGTCTAACCTTATGAAATTTTATTCCATTTAACCTACACGTATCTAGAAGTTTCAGATGTTTGTTTTCTAAAATTGTAGTTTTTAACAGGAAATATTCTTAGAATTTCATATTTATATCCTATATATTCTGTTTGTGGATGCTCACCTTATATGTGCACTATACTATTTGGAACTTTTTCTCTTCTAAAGGTATCTGTAATGTTGAATGTATTGTCCCATATCAGGTTGTTTTTATTGCATCATAGTCACTCTCTCTCTTAAGATGCTTACACTTATATTGGTATTTTCTCCCAACTGTCATTATCAGGATTGTTTTCTTCAGTAAGAGCTCTTGTTATAATTAAATTATAATGTATACAAAGCAATGTCTTCAAATCATAATATTTTTAGTGTCTGGGATTTTAAAATGTCATTCTGCATAACCCTTTTTTTCTATTATGTATACTCGATTCATATGTGTAAATTTTCTATAAAGATAATGAAAATTGGAATATTCCTGAGTACATGCCATTCAATAACCAACAATTGACCAAGAAATTTTTTCATAGATGTGAATTGGGTTCTTCTTTACCCGGCCGTTACCTACCTAAACCGTATTCATATAATATGAGCCTTACTGCGGCTTGGCTAATGTTCTTAAAAGATTAGTGAGTTATTAGTAACTCTAGCTCTGTTTACAAAACAGAAAATTTTTAAAGAGAAAAAATTGACCCATGGGTGTATCTGTAATGCATGACTGGAAGTGTACTTTTTGCGGGTGATTTATGAACAATATACCTATTGTATTTTTTGTGACTGTTGTGTGTTTGGGTCATTTGATTATAGCGTAACAAAGGTGTTGTAATGCTGAATGATGCGTCCATTGTTACAACATCAATGAAGTGATTATAGTGACTTGGTTGTGATTTTTTAAACATAATTGGATATTTGAAATTACCGGTTTTTTGATAATGTCTTATTTGTGGTATTGTGAAGTGAAATTTGGCACATATTTTTTTGAGTTTGCCACTTTTTGGATTAATTGTGGTGTTTATGTTTGCAAGGCCAAATTCTAAAGTACTGTACTATTCAAATATGAAGTACCGTACCGGTATATAGAAACATCCCTACCCATGATCTGTATTTGATTATGATTGATTTATTTTTGATTTTATTTATTCCTGTTCAAATTTAATAATTGTAGGAATATACTGGTATAAGTTTGATATATTAGATAGATTTAGGATTGACTAGAATGATCAAAATAAAGACCCAAGTTGTTACTTATTGACCCAATCTCAATGCTTTCTGCAATATTATATTGCTTTCTATTCTAATGATATAGTTTCCGAATAATTAATATGGCATGGTTATATAGTCTTTGGGACCATTGGGCTAAGATGACAATGTACGTTGGAGTTGTTTGTTTCTGGCCAAATTATTCATGCATTATGCAATTTTTATGCTACCTTACTGATTTTTAAATTATTTTGAAATTATTTTATTTTTCAAGCTTCAATTCAGTATCATTTTTAAACACGTTGGTTCGGAGCAGAAAAAAGACATAAAAATCTCAATAACTATGCTTTAGAATTACCTTGAAAAACCATCACATACCAAATCACATTTTTATTTAGTTTCAATCAAAAATTAATCAAAAGTATTTTGAATTCTAGTGCAACAATGAGTGCAAGAGGACAACCACAACAGAGAATGGGTCCACCATCTAGTCGTCGTTACAGAGCTAGAACTTATAACGAATACATGGACCCAATGGAAGTAGCATCAAGTACAATCAGTATGCCTCCTCTACAACATATGAATGCAAATAGAATGAATAATAGGGCGAAGACAATGCCCAGACCACAATCTGCGGAGGTAGTTTGATCAGATATGTATTACTGATGTTTATAAAGTGTTATATTAGGAATATTAAAATAATTTTGAGTAGAAATTTTTTATTTTTACTGAAAATCAGGTTTATAATTAATTTAAGTTTTTTTTTATAAGTAAAATTTTTATAAAGATTGAAATTTTTCACAAACTCTCCTTGTAGTATGTTAGAGTTGTAAAGGACTGATAATGAAATGGGATTTTTTGGCTCCAACCCAGACACTTTTTGCTTCGAACGAGGCCAGTGCTGTGCAAGCAGCCATTGATATCTAAACGATATGTGTGTTGCTTCTATCTTTGGAAGACCCCAATCTTTCCGGTTTGGCATTGCTTACCCTATTTATTACACCCAACTTGCTAAGTCTGACATTTCACCTACTAGACAATTGTTCTGAAGTTTCATTTCATTGTGCGACATAAAATCAACTCAAATTTTGGATGCTAATTTGTACTTAAAACATTCACAGAGAGTTGACAAAATGGGTCGTCCACTGAGAATGCCTGATTCTGGACAGAGAATGATGTCATCTAAAAGTGCTGGAAACGTAATGCTTGACCAATATGGAAATCCAGTATCACCACAACAAAGACAACATAGTGGAAATACGTCCGCTATCAAAAAAGCTAAATCCGAGTACGTAATCCAAGATGATGACTTCCAGAGGCAATATATAGCGAACTTCAAAATAGCTCAATCTCGTGAGAATCAAGTATTTTTAGCACCACGACAACAACGGAGATCTCAACAGCGACCACAATCTGCTGGTAGAGCAAGTACAAATAGTAGTAGCGGTGGAACAACACCCAGAAGATCCCAAAATCCTCCGAAATCAGCTGGAACTCCGAACGATGTATTCACACCACGATCCGATGCATCATCAGCAAGAAGTAATAGAGATCAACAACAAGTGAGACCTTTTAGAATAATTGGACACAAAATTTACATATAGATCGTTTTGCTGAACTGCTATTTTGGGGTGACATTTCTTGTTGGAAAAAATCTCTTTACTCTGGAACTAATAGGCAGATCGTTTTTAAATTTTCAGTACTTGGATATGACTCAAGCCCTTAATAAAAAGCTATTCCTTGGATTTTTGGGGATCGATGTATCACCCTAAATTTGACTGTTTCTATGAATATTGCACTGTAACTTGGCGTAACATCTTTCCAAAAAAAGCTGGTTTTCAGTGCTCACCCAGTACCCATGTGAATTGCTACGGCCACAGAACTTGATTTGCAATTTTTATTTAAAGCTTTCGAATTATATTGCCAAGGAATGAATTTGCAATGATATCATTGACACATTTAATAAATGATTTTTAAATTTTATTCATGTGCTCAGAATAGCTGATCTTGTAGTGACATTTGCTATTTTAGAACCAAAATCCAGCTGTGACTATTACGGCTTCAAATTTTAGTTAAATTGTGGCCCACATTAAAGTTTAACATTTTTTTTCAGGTTTTTCAGTTTGACACATCTAACAACAAACATTATTTGTCACCTTCATACAATGGAGTACCAAGACCTACGACCTTAACACCAGGTTCAAGACAACCTGATACAGGTGTTGAAGTTAAACAAATACAAAAGGTCAGTGATAGTTAATTTTTATCCAATATACTAATTTGAATTTTTGATTTTTTTAGAATTTGTTGTGATGATTAAGAAGGCTATTTTTCCTTCAAAATTTACTATTATTGTATAGGATACTTTTTTCATAAGATTTTCATTTTCACTGTAAGGGAGAGGAAAGCCAATTAGACAGCATAATCATATGACAAACCACGGTCTCTCGTTCGGTTACCGATCTATGTCTGGTATGGAAATAGCTATTCAGGTATTTGTTTCAGATGCATGGGTTTTGAGCCTTAACTGAACAGCAGTCCTGTGAACCACTCTTACGATTTTTAGCTCATGAATTTTAACATATATCATGGTTTTTCTGTTTATCTTTGTGGAATATTTGAAATCAGTATTCTAAGGTAAATTCCAGTATAACAAATTTTTCTAATACTAAATAGCACTTCTGAAAAATTACATTTTTTACAGGGTCAACTGAGAGCGTTCTGCTTGTCTGCTAAATCCCCACCAGCCCAGTTGCCTCCTCCTGAAAGACAAACCCCACTTAAAGTGAGTTAATTTACTTAAAAATGAATTTAGAAAATGTTTTTTTATGACATTTTTGCTTGATTTTATGTCATTTACTAATGTAACGTTCTTGTAATTTCTTCAAAATCAAAACTGCGTAACTTTTTTGTGAGTTTGTTACCCTTCTTGAACTACCAATTTGTCTGGAATTTTAACGAGCACTACAACACCAGCACTCGAGTTACTTTACTCTATACATCGTCATAGATTGCGTCACACTTTTGACTTTGTCAAGTGTGATGTGACTAAATTCAAGGACACTTCAGTAAAAGACTCACTAGCTTACTATTTTGACCCTTTGTGATGTAACAAGGATATTTTTACATCACTCAAAAAATTTCTTTCATCGTTGTAAATACCAAGAATTTGTGGACATGAAGTATGGATTATTTTCGCTAAATTGGATTTGAAATTGATTTTCTCTTCAACTATTAGACTAACATTTTCAAATTTTTAGTCATTAAAGATAGCTTCTGGGGTCCTTTCGACCTGCTCATCGTCTCACCCTAAATTTGGTATTTTGGATTGAATCGTGCTACCAACATAGGGACTCATCTACGATTAATTACATCATATGTTCACGTTCACGCTAACAATGCCACATTCTTGCCTATATAAATGGGCATTTCTCACTTCATCACACGAAAGAAAATCTCAGAAGGCTGTCACAAAGTATTTTCAAGATCTTGATAAACTGTTGTCACTATATACACTATGCTTGTTGGGTGTTGGGATAAATATAAAATCCTTCATGTATTCTCACGAGTTATATTCTGTATATTTCAGTCAACAGAAAATCTATCGAGAATGCCACACAGTGTTGCCAATGACAGAGATGTTGAGGTAAATGTTTGTTCGATTTCCATCAACTATTTATATTATTCTTTTGTTATAAACCTTTACATCAAGCAAGGCTCCATGAAAGCAGCTACGGATAAATGGCGTGCTAGTATTTCTTGAAAAATATAAATATTCCGTATTCGACATTGCCTATCGTATTAAATTCACCCTGTGTGAGACGAGAGCATTTTATTGGAGATTTAAGTCTGCATATGCTCGTATAGTTTCTCACACCACAACTCTATGATTTATATCATGGAATACTTGCTTGCTTTTAAATAAGCTATATAATTTTCGATGGAACGCTTATTTATGACTTTTTCTCTTCGAACAAGGCCCGATACAAGTAGCCATTGTAAGACCAGAATCTTTCCGTTTGGCATTACGTTTTTGGGCACTTCGAAAACGGAGATTTGTAACCTGCGTACTGTAATACAATTGGTTAGGATTGTAAAATATGAACCAACTAAATTTTATTTACCACTGCTAATGATCCTCAATTATTATTTTACTTTGTATATTTCAGACTAAATTAAAGAGATTGAATGATTGTGAGAGAGGATTTCAACAAATATCTGATGATGTGACCAACTTACTTTCTGAAAAAGAACGTCTTGAGGCCGAATTATCAATTGCTAAATTCAAGGTTCGGAATAGACATTCAACAGGTTAGTTGTTTGGTATTGTGACAAAATTTTCATTTTACTGAGAGATTTTTGCTCAAGATTAAGTTTTAATATAAATGAATGAATGATGAAGGATGTAGTTAACGTCCATCTAGCGTTGCGTGAACCAATTGTTTGGAAAAAAAGTTTTTGTTCGTGAGTATTTCCAAGTGATTTCAACCGATTAATCAGGGATGTGATAAGCAGCGTATTGTGAACTAATGGCTCATGAACCTTGACTTTAACTGTTTGTTATTACTTATCGACCTTTAGATCGGTAAGTATGTTGAGAGTAGCCATTAGATTTGTCTGTCTGTTAGATGCGCGCGATATCTCACGAAGGCATGGTTGAAAATGCTCCAAATTTTGCATGTGCATTCATCATATCTCGGACCAGAAGCCTATTGATTTTGGATGAATTATGTTGTATAATTAGCGAGTTATTAATTAATTAGTGATGGGACACGCGGTGTCACTATAGAGTCATGAATCGAAACCACAGTTTCGACCGATATTCTCGTTTGTTGATTTGTTTGTAAATCCTGCAGCGACGTTATTTTATATAGTTTCGTGATTGCTGCATATTTATTGATTGGTTTAAAACATTATGTTGATGTGAATTTTTTTTTACTTTTGACTCAGAGTATGTTACCTAGCTTTCAGCAAATTTTTAATATAATTTAAGGGTTTTTAATCCTAATACTCCACCATGATGCAATTACTACAAAAATGCTGAATTATTTTTTTTCACAGGAGAGAAAACCCAATTAGATATGGAACAACATAAACTTGAACAAGAACTTGGCAATGTCAATGCTCAACTTGCTAATTCAGTGCAGGTAGTAAAATTTTTGATGTGCAGTCTTTGTCAGAAATTTTCATGGTGTTTATTACTCAGGAGATGTTGCATAATTTTTTGCTGAATGTTTGCTGCTTATGCTTGATTTAAATTTGCTATGTAGTTTGATTTATCAACATTCATAACTATTTTATGTTTATAGAAATTAAAAGAAATGGCACAACAGAACGATAATTTTAATTATGAAATAAAAAGATTGAAAGCGAATATTCTTGAAGAAATAAAAAAACAGAGGTTGGTTCGATTGATATTTTTTCAGTCTTAAAATCATGATTAAATTTTTAAGATTTATGTCTTCGTGAGTATGTCTCCGTTATAGTAATGCTTTTTTACATAAGTAAAATGCAGTTGCGGTTAATAATATGAGGAATGCGATCATCTCACTTTACCATTTCCCTGTTACTGCAAATCTGGTTAGATCAGATGATTTTTTGGGCACTATAGCCTAGTGTTTAGCGCATCAGACCTAACTATGTTGTCATCTTTCTTGTCATCTTAAGTTTAAACCCATGCCAATCAAGTCATGTATGGTGTAATGGAATGAGATAGCTATATCAGAAAGTTTCTGGTATTACCAATAACATGGTAGCTTTTTACTGTACTGTATCAGTGCTGCTTCACAAACTTTGTGAATGTGGGATGAAACACAGATCAGAGACAAACATTTCTAAAACTTGTTTCTCTCTTCTTAACTATCAACTTTTTCAATTCATTACTTCATAAATTTTAGACCAATCACTGATGATGTTTATGACAATGTTTCAAATCAAAATAAAGAGAATAAGAGAAGACTGGAGTGGGAGTTGGGTCGAGTTGAATTCATTATCGAAGGTCTCAACAAACAAAAATCTGATATCATAGACAAACTCAGAAGTATAGATTTAAATAAAGGTAATGTAGAAGTTGGAATTTTTAATGCTTTCATGACTGATGTTTTTTATATAATTTAAGCAACAAATTATTCATCTTATTTTATTTGTTATTTCGGAATATAAAAACATCCTCAGAAAAAATATCATGATGCTAATTTTTAATTTTATTAAAAAATTTCATTTTATTCATAAGCATAAGATTTCTAATTTTTTTGTTCAGGAGATGATAGTCCACTTTTATCACCCAAAACCCCACCAACCAGTATTTTATCAGCGAATACAAGGTAAAAATTTCGTTTTGTTCAACATTAATAGGTTTTCAGATGAAATTAAACATGTCCGCTGATTTATCATACATTTTAAGCATCAATTTTTTTTCGTTTAGGTCAAATAACAGTCTAAATTTTCAACTATATAGTTTTGTACATTCTGAATCCTTAAGATATTTTATGTATATCAGATTGTCAGAATTTGACAGGCAATGTCAAATTAAAAATATTCTAATTTTTTTGGAAACAATAGCTCCTATGTATCAGTTTCTACTCACCCAGGACCTTGTTCAGAGGAAAAGCATGTGAAAACACTCACTCTAGCACGCTATCCCCTTGGTCGCAATACAACCGAATAAATTCTCTGTGAAAGCACTTCTGATTATGCCGATTTCTTAACTCATGAATAAACCTATCATCATAATACAATTTAATGTTGCAGATCTCCTCGAGATGTGAAAAGAACATCAATGGAACGAAGAACAACTCCAAACCGTCCTTCCTACAGCAGTACATCAAGCAGTGGCACACCAAACTCTACACCTGTCAAAAAGTATTTCACTCTGCCTGGAAGAGGAGGTAGAACTATTTAAATATTTTTTAGCTAACATTTGTTGGCTTCCAGGTGCAGCCACTAATGTGGGAAGTATATGTTCAGTGAACCTATTTACCAATGATTGCAAGTCATTTTAATAAAATTGAATTCATGTTGCAGTTACTCATGCAACAAGTGTCGATAGCATGACTGCCGAAAGTTTGGCGAAACAATCTCCTCGACCAACTTCAGCTAGATCTGTATCAAGTATTGGATCCTCTAACTTGAGTAATTTACATCGAACAAGATCAGCTGCAGAGAGATTATTTCAAGCTCCGTACTCAAATCAAAGTTACGATTACGAAGCGAAAGAGATGAAAAGATTGCAGAAGGAAATTACAAGGTTTGTTCTTGAAAAACCTATTTTGAATTTTGAACAAGGTGGAGTTGGCTTTTATCTGCAGGTGTGTTGTCATGCACTTGTCCCACACAAGTCACAATTGTTTGAATTTTGTTTTATATGTATACTGTAATCTTTTGCCAGGTATTACATCTAAACGCAGAACGAAGCATGAATTCCATCGTATATTCTTACTTCAAACATTTTCCCCATAATATATATCTACCCTAACTCACAACAGTTGTAAAAGTGTAGCAATATACAACAAGTGGGACGTGGTAGACACCATAACTACAATGCTAACTTAGACTGACATTTTAAAGAGAATTTCCGAGAAGCAATGTGAAAGCGGAATTAAAAGTATATTCATATCTGAGAAAGGTTACGGGCCACTACCCATATTGTAAGACCAACTAAAACTTTATATATCATGATGGTGCATAGCACACCTGTAAATGTTGATTAATATGATACTTGCAGCATTTCTATTCAATTTAATCAAGAAAACAAACACTGTGTTACCAGACCTACTAGAAAATTTTAAAATTTCGATCTCTTGTACAATCGAATAATAGTATACCATACCAACCATTGATATGAAGCACACTCATATTCCCTCCATTACGATGTATTCATTCCCATTCAGGAATCGACGCAACAACTTAAAATCTGGTAGTGTGGGTGACATGCCTGGTGGAATGACTTTACCGGCACGATCACATATGAAAGTGGGGATCGATGTTCAGATGGTATGTTAAATATAATTGCCATCTTTTCTAATTTTGACACTAGTTCGTGTATTACTTGTCTAAATACTTTTGCTTTACTTTTTCACAGGCTCTGAAGCATCATCGAATGCCAAAGGTAATTGTTTAATATTGTTATTACAAAAAATGATTGATATTTTTAGATTATATTAACATGTCATAGTAAGCCCTATGACAACTCCTCTCTTACAGTGATCTGTCTTGATTTGTAATGAATTTGAAAGTTGGAGTCAAATCCTATAAATTATATTTCGTGGGGACCAACCATCTTTTTCTATAGTTTTGCACTGGTAAATCAGTATGCATATAAGGCCAGGTCTGTAACATGAGTGAAACAACTATTCTAAGTGATTTAAAAGTCTTGCTGCATGCTATCACAAATATATTTCAGTAACGTTTTATATCAAGTTCGACATATCGTATTTTGAAAGTTCAAGACTCCTTCAAACACGCACATAATTCAACTAGTAAATATATTATATTTGTATTAGTGTGAAGCAACCAGCAATACTCTTCAATAACCTAAATTCATATTGTTTCACTTTGTTATCTATCTATTAACCCCACCCCACTCTCTTGTACTTATGCAATTTGAGTCCAGTTGGAAATTTCTAAACAGTTTAGCACTGAGAATGAAATGCCAATGTTTGTAACCCTGTACCTTTCATGTTATTTTGTGTTCTTAAAGCTTCAATTATTTATATATTAGGTTCTACAAAGAGCGAAACGTGACATGGCTCGTGCAGAACAAGACAGAATGAATCATCAAATAGAATTAGATATCGATGATTTGGAAAGACAGGTATGATGCCGTCAGAAATATTTTTGTATACTCACCTGAAATAAAATTTTCCCTCAATTTTTTTGTATATTTCGTCTTCTGCAAGTTACTTTGTGACATGAAGCGGAAATGGCTTTTGAAGACGAAATTTTAATGTGGAATTGGGATGTAAATTCTAAAACTCTGTTATGGTTTTAATATACCTGAATTTTGACCCTTATGGGCTAATTATTTAAAGCAAAGCAATCTAAACGTAGTTAACTTATTAAACAAGATAGCGATCAGAGACCGCCGACTTATCGATCTAGCGGCGTGTATCCTTCCCTCTGACTCAATAGCGAAACTGTGTGTCGCATCACTATTGATTAAGTAATAACTCGCTATTTATCCAAATAAATAGGCTTCTAGTTCGAGATATGATAAATGCACATGCAAAATTTGGAGCAGATTCAACCTCGCTTTCGTGAGATATCGCGTAACATACGAAAGTGTCTAACAGACAGACAGACAGAGAAACAGACAAATACCTATCAACATACTAACCGATCAAGATCAATAAGTAATAACCTGTGGATGTACCTTTAATTCAGGTTTGTTTTCACAGGTCAATCCTAAAAGTTCTGGTTTATATGGATACAGCTATGATCAAGTAAGAGAAACCATCGATTCTGCGAGACAACTGGAAACTCACCCAGTTCATGACAATGATGACAATGAAATCACAGTAGATGTTAACCTTACACATCAGGTAAACATGATACAAAGTTAAACACAGAATTGACTTTGCTCTGAATGGGTTCTTATTGACTTTATAATGCATATATGGGTTGTGAAAGCAAATATGATGAAAACAATCTGTAGTATTGATTGAATATGGATGAAATAAAATGATAGTTTTTGGTGAATAAGACGAAAAAGTCTTTTCGTGTTAATGCTAAGCAAAACATTACCCAAATTTCTCTAGATTTTGGTTTTCCAGATTCTAGAAGCACATATTTTTACAGGTGACCGTACATTTGAACCCATGTACATTTGAACCCATGCGTATATATCCACGGGTTCAATCTATATGCGGGTGCTAAAACCCATGGGTTAGGGTTAGTATGGGTTTAACTATCCGTGAAACAAAAATAATTCCATAGGTGCAATAGCATACAGGTGCAATTGTCATGGGTTCAAATGTACGTGGGTTGAAATGTAATGGAACCATTTTTACATATAATTGACTTCTTGCCAAGATTCAAAATAATTTTCATTCGGCTGATTAGTTTGTTTATAGTTTAGCAGTTGATATGATAGCAGTTCAAGTTTTTTTCTGATTTCAGGACATTTACAAAAAATTTAGTATTTTTCAATTTAGTCGGATGAAATTGCAGCAGACTTGGACTATTATTTAGACTAGTTAAAATATATATATATATAGAACATTTCTTTGTTTGGATTTGCATTGATTTTTTGTTTAGATTTCACTCTGTTCCACATTGTGATTTGTTGGTGTGTTAGCTAATTATCTTCAGTAACCGATAACTTGATACATTTTGTTTTCATCATAATTGCAATGCTTCTGCAATATATCATCAATATTGAGAATCATAAAATCAATGAGTAACTTCCAAAATTGAAAATTCATCATGTTTTCTATGATGTATTTTTTAGGTCTTTTATGCCAAACTTGTGTAACATTGGCTCGATGTGTCGAAATAAGTATTGAAAATTTGTCATTTTGCTCATTGCATGGGTGAAATAAATACTCACGAAAAATGGTTTCTCTAGATTTTTTTATGATTTTCAATATTGTTCACATTTGCGGTTTTGATTGGGTGTTCTTTTAATCTTGTGGAGCGGTTCAAAATTGGCGACTAACAAATGTATACGTTTTGTAAATTGTGAAATTTCATTTCTCTTCTATCTGTCTCTCTCCTGCATTTTCCTGCCTGTCGCATGCTGTTGCATTCCAGCTTATAACGCCTGGTAAAGTCGAGATTCCAGAAAGGTATGTGGAATATGAGGATATCGAATTATCTCCTGCGGAAGAAAAAATGAAATACAAAAAAATGGCAGCTATTGAAAGGATTCTTGCCAAATCAGGGTAGGTACTTTTCCAGAACAACTATCTGTGAATACTAAACAACATGCAACTGCTGTTGACACAAAAAAATGATGATAAAAAATTAAAAATTCAAGTTTCTGCTCAAAATCAATCCATTTATTGACATTTCTCTCACTCTATTTGGCAATCTTTTATCTCCTTTGCGTAATATATTGGTAAAGCAAATAATTGTTTTCTCTGTCAAGTGAGTAATAATTAATCCAGTATTCATTGGTTGAAGCCATCTGGCTTCTGACTTTTTATTTGATTTGATCACATTGTGAAAATCATCTTAAATTTAATTTATTTAAATATTGATCTCAGCTTTATTGATCTTTAGAATCAAATCATTAATTTATGGTATTTTTTGATTCTTTGTGTCATTTATAAAAAATCTTTGTTTTTTACATCAAATGCCGTCAGCCTGTCTTGGAAATGTTTGTGGATTCATACATTATCATCAGCTATGTTCATGGTGCTTACTGCATGTTATATGCAATATATATGTATATTGTCGCTGCATTAACGAAACATAGCGTTATTGTAAAAGTAATGGTGATTCAATTAATATGCTTCTGCTTGTTATTACATTTTGTGCATATTGTAATATTTTATTTTATTTTTTTGATATAAACTGATTGAATATGGCATGAAGGTACGTTTTATTTTTCCAGAATGTTAGAAGCAAAATTGCAATAATTGCCAAATTATACTGAACAGCTTGTGATTTTGCGTTTCTCGAATGATTGTAATGAACTACAAGTTTTGTTTGAACACCGTTTCCCCAAGTACCCTGATTACAGTCAGGCTTTTCAACATTTGCATTCTTACTTTACATTATGATTTGCTCACAGTCAGGTGCATAATCATGACCTGACCATAATGCTGGCTTGCTCTAATCACAGAATCATAATTACAATATCAGAATTCAGTGTTTTTCAGCAATATTGAATATGCACAAAGCAACACTGAATACAAAAATTTTCAAGTCTCGAATTATGTTACAGGGAAAATGAAACTTGAAATTTTTGGTATTCTTTTTTGTAAAGGCTTTTTTTTCAGAAAATTCATCAATTCTCTTTCAGACAACAAGCGTCACTTCCCGCCGTCCACTTAGCTGCTGCGTTGGCAGTGGAAGCGGGTTCGGTAGCACGAGCCGTAGCTATGCACGCGTCAGTCCCCCAAAGGCATCCAGGGGACGGCCAGAAGGAACAACCACTAGTGGGGAGGGAGAGACCAGTAACGGACGGGTCATCATCGGCGGGGGAGGATCTGGAAGTGGAAATGGGATCGTCACTACTGCAGCAGGATCCGGAATATACCGCAGCGTATATAGTATGAAATTGAATATGTGATTTGTTAGATACGCATATGAAGACGTATGGTCAAGATGCTGTCTCCCACGGTTGAAAGCATTTTATTTCATGTTCCTATGTGTCACAGTAATAAATATTGACTGAATTTATTTTGGGATTCAACAGAACATTATATGATATTCTTTAAGAGTCGGCCTAATGGTGTGTTATGGACATATTTAAAGTATTATTCATACATGTGTCAAGTATTTTCCAATTGCTTCGCAGCTCTGTAGAATGCTATTTCGCTTTGTGTTATATGAAATGTTTAAAATTATCTCTATTTTCTCTGTAAATTTAGTTGCTACATGACTAACGTTCGGTGTTTGGCTTTATGTAACTTACTGCCTGGCTTGTGATATTGCGTACAATAATAGGATAAATTAGCTTTGTATGATGTGAGTTGAATATATGTTAAATGGTATAGTGTGTCATTGGTACACAAATTTGGAAGCTTTTAGATGTCAATAAACATATGTGTCTCACATTAGATTACGAGATACAACAAATTGAGGGTTGAGAAATCAAATCAGTCAAATATAAATCCTATTTTTTTGGAAATAAATGAGCAGCTCATCACATTTTTGTTGATGCTTGACATTGAAATAAGTATAATACCACCAAATTCATGTAAAAATACATATTTTCAATGGTTTGAGATTTTAGTTTTTGTGATTTTAATTCAGATTACCTTTTACTTTGTGCTTTGATGGCATTCGATGACTATCATATATGATTAATAGTAGTCTATATTGAAAATGACTGCTTGTGTTCTGAATTCCTGACCATATATATGTAAACATTCCCTGACAGCCATTTGCACTGTTCAGTCGTTTGATTAAAACATTTTGTGGCTGACAAAAATTGATCGTTTATATGAGTATTGTCCATTCCAAATATTATCGTTGCCTAAAATGAAGAAAATACATATCTAGGATTCATCACTAGTGTCATTCCACATCTCACAATGTACATATTTAGTCCAGGGTACTATAAGCATTTGTTCCTTTTATTTGACATTTTTTTTTCAAATATTATAGTACAATTTTTTCTCGGCATTGCGCCTGTGATGGTACACATTATAATCCATGATGTTGCATTAATTCTTACTATAGTACATTTATTTTTATAATTATTCATTTTATCACGAAACAAATGAGAAACATAATAATCAAGTGATGGAGTTTAATGAAATTGTATAGTTTTTTTTTTTTTTCAATTTTTCTGCTTTATGACAAGCAGTTTTGTTTAGTTTTTACTTTGTTTCATGTTGAATGGACTTATCACTATTTTTTGTTTCAATCTCATATACAATTAAAAATTGTGTGTTTGATTCCGATTAATATAAGAAATACATAATATTATGTGTCAAAAATTACCCCCACGAAACTGGGAATATTCGGTAAATTTTAAGACATCAAAATTATACGAGAGGAATTCCCAAATTTTTTATTAAAATTGAGTTTATATACGAAATATGGCATGAAATGATTTTATCAAATTTTTATAGAATTAAGTTATGAAATTAATATCATGAATGCTATTAAGCTAAATTTATTGTGTTAAGTATATCAACTCCCCTATATCAACTATCTGACTTTCGTATTTTGCCAGCTTTTAATCACGAAACAACCAATCAAACTCGCCTCGCAAAATTTTTGCGTACAAGTAAATTACCTATTTAAGGTCATGTAAGTTTTTAATATTTTACAAATTCACAAGTAAAGGAACCAGTGTCTAGAGAAACCTTTGTTTTGAAAAATTAACATAAAAGCATTGGCACTCGAAAGGATATATAATAGGGATTAGATACTCATATTTCTTTAACGACTGGAAGAATGTACTGGCATGGACATTTCTAATTGTTAGATATTCTGCACTAGAAATCAATGATTATAATCATTGTGTTCACAATTTTTCACTCAAGTTTGAATTTTACCTGTGTTGGCGAAATCAATCATGTCTCCATCTATATATTATTGTCTTTTGATATGTATAGTATAATCAACGCTTGCATTTTGTGCTAGTAATGCTTTTGATAATATATTGTCATAAATAAACATATAAAACCTAATTTTCCAAGACATTCGAGTTCTTGATACCTACCTTATATTTTGCTTATCATTAATACAATTTATATTCAATCCATTTCTGACACATCCCAATTGCTTCATTCCCAAATTCATGTGCTTTATCAATCCAATTTTCTCTACTGTGCACGTATGTGTCAATGAGTTTGGGCATCTGTGCATAAGACAGATTCCCTAAATGAGATCAGTGATTTTATAGTTCTTTTTCTGACCATTTTCTTTGCTTTGAAGAATAGCCTACATTCAAAAAAGGTAGAATTTCTATTTACGATAAGATTTAATGATTTTTTATCTGTGTCCTGTCATACATTCCTTAAACTAAACATAACAGTGGTAGAAAAGCTCTCAGAAACGCCCTTAGGACAGTCTTGGAAGAAAAACAAAGTGAGGAACTTGGTTAGGGGGAAATTGTATGTTTTGTATTGCTTCTGATTATTTTTTTATTTCCAGCAGAAGTGAAAAGAAATGTCTTAGTATATGTGTAACTAATAACTTTAATCTTGTTTGTACATTCTAATATTTTGCATTGTGCATAAGTATTGTGGACTAATATGAACATAAAATCAAAATGTCCATCAATGCAATAAAATGCTGTATATTTTTTGCTTGTAATATTTCTGAGAATTGTAAAAAATAAATTTTTGCACTACGGTCTGCCCAAGAAAAATTTGCAATGTGTCTTGCTTTGGTCTTGTTGGAGGGGTGGGTGTGTTATCGGTAAGTATGAAATCACCCACATTTTGCTTGTGTCTTACTGTGGAGCTGGTGTTTACGTTCATCGTATAATTTAGATTCCAATTAGTAAACAACATTTAGTTTGGTTCATTGAGGATTTTGTACAAAAACCTGGCCTTCTGGAAGTCATTATAATCGTTTTATGTTGTACATAAGTCGTAGGTTTGATACCGGAAGAAAATCCATGGCGCTCAGCTCACTATCATAAAATTGACAAATTCGAAAAGTCGTTGTCTTTGCGTTATGGTTATTTGCTTGACGTATCGTTTCAATTCTATTCTTACCCACGGTTCGGTAAATTTAGAAACGTCAAACCAGATTAGGTATTTAAAATAAATTTCTCAAATTTTAAACTCCGCATGCTTGGTGACATGGTATCAGCCATCTCTTGCGTGACCCGAACATATAATTGATTTAAAGTTAAAATGAATTTTCCGCGTTTCATTGCGCGAAAAAAGGCTTTTAGGTATCAGAAAATTCGAGTTATATAAATAGCATGGATTTGAAAATGCACAGTTAAAGTTTTCCACAAAGCTGGTATGAGTTACTTGGTGACCGTACATTTGAACCCATGCGTATATCCACCCGTTCAATCTGTATGCGGGTGCTAAAACCCATGGGTTAGGGTTAGTATGGGTTTAACTATCCGTGAAACAAAAAAAATTCCATAGGTGCAATAGCATACAGGTGCAATTGTCATGGGTTCAAATGTACGTGGGTTCAAATGTAATGGAACCGAGTTACTTGTATGAGAAACACTCATTAAGGTATAACCAGATAAGAAATGACAGACCATACTTCCTTTAAAGCGCTTTCTATGAGCTCTTTAGTGATCCCTTCCATCCTTAACCAAGTAATGTGAAACAGATAGGTATGACACATATAAATCCTCGTAATATCGTAATACGATACCATTTCAATTTTTTTTGTCATGAAACCAGCTCATGTTGCTAAAATAGCTAATCGAGCCGCTGGTCCAGAATTACAAGATATACATAATGTTGTTTGGACTTATATATTATAATTTTCTTGGGGGAAGTGGGTATTTCCAAATTTAAATGGATGTGGAAATTTGGCGACTTTGAACGGACTGGATTGCAAATTGGTGGTTTTATTCAAAGATTTAAGATAAGCGAATTCACTTCAACAAATTTCAATATTTTGTATGACAATGATATGGAGACAGGTAAACATTTAAACTACGTCAAGCTATTTTCATTAACAACAATAAGCTGACCCACTGTTTGGGTCCCACCCCAGCATAGTTTCAAATATACAACCGGTACATGCAAAATACAATTCAATATTTGTCTAATTAGTGGCAACATGCTCATTAATATCAAGATGAGAGTGGTTTATATATGGTGACGTCATGAGGCAATAGACCGCAAAAATGCCTTCTTTGAAAATAGATTAAAACAATAAAGAAAGATATAAGTAAATTTTAAATATATAAAATCGATTTGTTTGCTTTTTGCACTATTATTTTCAAATAGCGGTTTTGATTATTATTTTATAACATTTTTCGCAAAAATATTTAGAATTACTACCGTGTTTCCCCGAAAATAAGACATACCATGAAAATAAGACCTAGCCTGAATTTTAAAAATGATTTTGATATAAGCCCTCCCCTTAAAACGACTAACATACCAAAATAACACCTACTCAATAACGCAAATTTATTTTTTGACCTAGTAGATAGCAAGAAATCTCTCCTACTCGTTTTAATAGATTGATAATCTATGTTTTGCAGTTAATTTGAAAAAACGAGTTATTTGTAAGTAAATGGATATCGGTTTTCACATTTTGTCTATTCAAAAATCTCGCAATTCTCTACTTTGTATTTTTGTTTTTGATAAATGAAAATATAAGACATTCCCCGAAAATAAGCCCTAGTGTTATTTTTCGGAAGAAAATTGAAATAAGACCCAGTCTTATTTTCGGGGAAACACGGTTACTACTAAATCAAAACGATAACTCTGAACTTGTCGAAGTGACTCAAAATCGCCGCTAGACGTCACTACTGTTCGTTCTGTTAGCATTGAAAATTCCGCGCTTTGTTTTGTTTTCAAGTCTCGCTGTTGTAATTTCACTTATCGTGGAAGTTCGTTTGTCCTTCACCGAATCAAATTCGAAATCAATCGCTTGAGAACTGTTAAGTATTATATCGATGTTATGTCTAGCGGTACTCGGGATCGTGATGGCAACAATGGTGGTGGTCAAGTTGGGAATAACAAGCAAAAACGTCAAAAGCATGGAAACAATTGGCATAATGGAAAAATGAAGGTGATAGCAAGTCAAGTTTATTTTATCAAATCAGTAAAAAAACAAACACAAACAATATTCAAAGAAGAGGTAATCATACATTTTACTTTGGAAGGGAAGCCGCGGGGAACCAAGTCTGGTGATAGCCCAGATAAATCTGTAAATTCAGAAATTACGGTACCTTGATACCGAATGTTAAAACGAAGCGTTTTCTTACTGTCTTGTGGCAACGTTAAATGGAATTTCTGCCAAGAAATAAACCCACTTGCAAGTTGAAAAAAAGTTTAAAACCCACTTGCAAGTTGCAAACTTTGTGTCCATGAGCTGCATTCCAACTTCTGAATTTGGTCATTACAGCCCGACAGCACTAGCAGACTAGAGAAAGTTATCGATGCATATCTCAGTATCTTGTCAGAATAATTGCATCCTTACCATCAATTTACTGGTGCTACTATCTTCCGTTTCTGGCTTTGTTTATTTCTTTGGTTAAGTTTACATCCAAATGTCTGAATGTCACATTCTGAAATTGCACTAGCCTGCTAGCATTGGCTAAACTTTTGAATTTTGTATCTCCTTCAATGGTGTTCTGAATGCAGAAAGGGATTACCTAATTTATTTGCAGTACATTCTTCTACATCTGTGTACGGCCAATCTTTGATTTTAGGTTTAATTCGAAACTAGAATTTCTCGGTATTTTCCACAAGATTGAACCCTCGAACTAAAGTCACTGTAACGGTCTTATGTTAATATGGCTTGATAGTATAAGATGTATTATTGATTTTTTAATCGAATTCTTTTTTTCTTTACAGATGAGACCTGTTACAGTGGAGACAGTTCGCCGTATTGTTGCTCAAGAGGGGCGATCTGCGAGAAATTTAATTTCATGGAATGCACCTCTTGATAATGTGGAGAGAAAACATTCTGGTAAATTGGGATATATGCATTCATTTATTCACATTAATAGTATGAAATGAAATAAAGATATATCAAAGTGTAAAACAACCATTTCTGTGAAACCAGATTCTCCATTAAAAATGAAATATACTTTCACCAAAGGGGATCAAACTATGAATATTACTTTAAGTTAGGGGACATCATTCAGTTTCGAGTTGAATGCAAGTCTTGCTTCAGAAAAAAAATTACTGGAATTTAGCATAGTATTTTCCCTAGGCACTTATAACTTTGTTATTAAGCTTTTTGTACCTGTCTGTATCAGTTTTCACTGATATCAATTAAGTCCTCATGGTATTAGGACCATGACTTACAATCAACTCCTACTCATGATTCTGAATTGAAAAAATGTTAGCTTTCAACCTATTGACTCCAGGTTCATGAAATTTTTAGCTCCCAACTCCCAACCATAGACTCCTGAGAAAATGAAATTTTAATGATGAAGACTGTTAAGACCTCCTAGTCAACATAATTTTTTCAGTTTCTGTTGAAAATTTTGATATCAATGATATCACCATTAAACATCTAAAATTCTGACTTCGACACTGTAGAATTCCAAATTTTGAATTCCCAGGTTTAATTAAAATATACCAAACACCGACTCCACAGCCGTGTTTGGTACAAATAGAATTTCATTGTTCAAAATGTGAGCTTAAATCAGATTTTTGATTCAATTTTGGATAAAAATAGTGTGATGATAAAATTTTTTTGTATGTCGATTTGTAGTTGATGATGGTGAAGAATTCAAACCTGTGAAAACTCGTAGACGAGCATCAGGATTAAAACGAAGATCTAAATCATGTGATACAAATGATAAAAAGTCTGATAACAGCAACAATAAAAGTAATGGAACGACTCGGACACCCAGAGATATAAAGACAAGTGGAGGTATCCATGCATGGTGCTTACTTATTAAAGCTAAATATAGGATTTATCCTCGTATCAGAATTATTAACGATTGCCGAAGAATTAAAAATATACGCTACTCAAAAAAGCCTACTAAATCTCAGCTGTCAATTCAGAGATGAAAGATTATATTATAAGTGTGTTAGATTCGGGCGAGAATTGGGAGATTCCAGTTGAAACTCACTCAGGCAATTGTGAGCTTTACTGCAATGGGGGTACTGGTGCCCTTTACATAAATGTCACTGTTATTTCATGCTTCTTTTTTCAGGATCTTCAAGATCTTCATCAGTTGGCAAGAAACAAACAAGTATTCGTGCGAGATATTGGGCATATTTATTTGAAAATCTTCGTAGAGCTGTTGATGAAATATATGCAACCTGTGAAACAGATCAAAGTGTTGTTGAGTGCAAGGTAACTTGTGTGTGCAATGCTGTTTTTTTCATTTCAATAAAAAAGCCATATCGGTATCTAGTCCTGTCATTTAATCAATAAGATATGATCATATTTTCTCACACAACATAACCAGTGGCCAACAAATTTAAGCAATAATTTTTTAACATAAATCACACAGTAGGTGTTACTAGTTTCTTTTTTATTAGGATCTTCTTTCCCAGCACTTATGTGTGTTTAGAGGTACTGATAGAAGTTAATTTGATTTTACTTGGACTTCAGACTACCTTTCCTTCATCGCTTTTCATTTTTGATTTTATTGTTTTAGGAAGTTCTTCTGGTTTTGGATAATTATAGACATGATTTTCAAGCTCTTATTGATTGGATAAATCTTCAAGAACGTATAAATTCAACTGATGTTGCCAACAGGTAAAGTCATGGTGTTGTGATATTTCATAAAACAGAACGATCAAACTTAACAGACGAGCAAAACTCAAGTTAAGGATAGCTAAAACTGAATAACAGACTACCTCACTTTAAAATTATATTTCTGAATACTGGATATTGCAGAAGGGTGAAATAAAGTATAAAATAAATTAAATTGATCCATATCACCACCAAAATTCTCAATGAAATGCAGTTCAGATTATATAAAACGAATACCTCTAGTTGGAATTTTTAGCCTGCTTTGGCAGTGTAGGGTATAAAACCCTGAATTGAGATTTCAAAGCAGAGTCACTGCAGTCAACTAGCCTAGTTGTCCAGCCGAAACATGAGTATAACAGATTTCATAAAAAAGTCTGTGGTATTCGGGTCATTTCGCTTAGATGACCTAAGTTGAGTCTCTGAAAAACATTACTAAAATATCCCTAACACTGCTATATAGTAGAATTTTTTTTTTTTGAGAGTAACTGATTCGCAAAGAGAAAGGTATTTCTGTTTGTAGAAGTCCCTATCATCATTCAAACAGCAATATAGTGTTGATATAAAGTCTTTCATGTCAACTAATATTTACTGGTATTGACACAGCATTAGTGGGTGCATATTTAGTTCTTAGCGTGTCCGTGGTCGCTTGAAAATAATAAACCTTGCTTCACGCTGTAAAAATTTTTCAAATTCGGTATCATTTCGCATTACTTTTTTAGACCTACATCTTTGGCATGGGAGGTCCGTAAATCTTCACCAGGTCGGCCGAGACAAAGAATGACTCCTCGTTCTGGACAACAACCTCCCTTTTCAGGTCTTACTCAAAATGCTCCATCATCGACGACTGGAATCACACCGACAAACAGCATTAAAAGGTGTCTCAAGTTCCCAGATGGGAATGCTGGGTTAAATGCAACCTCAAACAACACTACTAATTCTGCTCTGTGTGATAGCAAAACATCATCTAATTCTTTGCTTCTTCGGTGTGTTGTAGCTTTTGCACTTCTGCTTTTAACAGTTAGTTATAGTGTGTTTTTCAAAGAAAAATAGACTTATTGCATGCTTACACTTATTATTCTAGGGATGTCTAGAGCTGGGCATTTCAAATCTCATATTCAAATCTGTTCAGACTGGAATTTCAAATCGCCGCCATTTTTTTTTCATCCGACCTTAGGTCGGGGTGAATCGTTCATTTTTTTATTTAGGTCAAATTTTTAATATGCATTTCTGACATATGACTTTTCTGAGTGAGTTAGTGATGAATCATGTTTCTTACCATGTGTGAAATGAACACTCTGCAAACTGTCAGATTTATAGATTGTGTGTTTTCACTAATTTATGTGTCTGAAGGACCCATTACAATTAAACAGTCAATACAACAACATAACTTCCAAGTATTCGAGATTTGATTCAAAAAAACATTCAATTCGATTCTGAAATCGTATCTGAAAATGCCCAGAACTAGCCATAACCAGAGATGTGAATGTCTGAAATATTTCATTACCCGAAGTTCTTGATGATTGCTAGATTGATCAAATATTTAGTCTCAACAGTCCAATGATAGTCATGCCTATATATTGGTGTTGATGAAAGATGTCCACTGCTCACTCAAGGTGTAATAAATGGAATAGTTAATGCTGGATTTGAATATATCTGTCTATTCAAAAATATAGTAACCCGTACTATCATCGTGCTTCATATCTGAACATGATATGAATGAGTTAGTATTAATATGTAGATTTAATTTTGCAGGCGTAAGTCTTGCAATATTTATTATTCCGTCAACAAACAACTAACATTGATATCTAGTTATGAATTATGTGGTCTATTTGCTTCTTTACTGGGTCTGCATTGGGGCTCTCGATCATAGGTCCACCCCAGACTTCTTTCAAACTGAACCAGATAAACAGTTCTTGGTATCGGAATATGCTATCTTTTCTCTTTGTGTTTATTTGGAATCTATTTTGAATTTATCTGGTGATATTTGCACTGGCACAATATGGTGTTGAGGTTTTCAGTTGGGTGTAATAGGCAGTGATTCTGGTGGTTTGATTGATATTCTCACTTTGTGATGGTGAATTACTTACAACATAGGTAGAAGGTTGAATGCGAATATGAAAAAATATTATTAACTTTATTATTTTTACCTCATTTCTCTAAATTTGTTGGAATCAGTAATTTGACCATTCTCTAATAATTTAATTTAGTGTAGATGAAGTCTAACAATGACAGTATTTTGAAATTTTGTTGAAATTAAAAAAAAAATAGTGTTTTTAACTGTATTTTCAAAGTATTCGAATACTCTGTAATTCTTTATCTTTGGATCAGCAATTACAAATCTTAGATCTTGAAATGTGGGACTTTCATGATTACTATTGATGCAATAATTTGAATATGTATACAACTTGATTGTTGGTATCCTATTTACTAGAATATTTAATTAAAATAGTTGCTTAATAATTGTTAGCTTTAATTTTACTAACATAGAAAAATGTTGTAGATAGTTATGTTTTGTGCTTCATTAACAATTTCAAACCTTGAACTTTGAAAAAAAGAGTTGAAATAATAAACATGGCTTAATGCAGTTTTTTCATATTTTCATTTATCTAATATTGTTAGTCAAAAATTTTTATCTTGCAAATATATAAATTTTAATAATATTTTCTTCCATAGCAAAATTAATCCCATTATATGCTGATTTTAAGGAAATTGATCGGGTTTCATTCATATTTTCAACCCAGAGCCGGAGTCATTTTTTGAAATGCCTCAGAATTTTGAGTTGTATGTAGATTTTTTCTCGACTTCCACAGCCATTGGAATTAAATTTATAATCTGTTTTCTGACATTTTGTAGATAAACTATGTAGGCCTATATATAACAAGTAATGACAACGTAACTAGCTTAGATTGTTTTCGTTTTAGATCAAATTTTGACAAAAAGCCTGGATCTACAACTGGTACAGTATCCTGGGCTGACAAAGTAAAAGGAGTTACAAACACGGTTCCTAAACCAACCGCACCACAATCTCAAAATCAACCAAAAACAATGGTTCCACAACCTAGCAAAAAAACTGGCAAAGAGAACACTGTGATCAATAAAGCTAGTGGATTAAAAACATCTGATGGTATGACTTGAAACTCTTCTAGTATCAATATTTTATATTCGTTTATTTTGAGTTACGCTGCTATTAATGTTTCATATGGAAGTTATAGTCACGCTGCAGCTTCTAATTATAACATTTTTCCAGTTCTCTGCAATTTTTGTAAAGTTGTTAATGTATTTTTGTAAAGTTGTTATTGTATTTTTGTAAAGTTGTTAGTGTCAGTGGCTCAAACTGACAATTTTCAATAAGAAAGTGGTCTAAATTATTTCTAAAATGAGAAACTTTATGTATCAGATATCAAAAATAACTCATCTTGAATACTGACTGGTATATTCATTTTGGATATTATTGCTTGTCACTACACTGTTTTTATGATAAATTGAGCACATAGGCAGCACGATTACAGAACTGTGCAAAGCTAATAATTCTGTCTATTAAATATAAAATTCACACACAGAGGAAGAAGGTTGGGAAAGAGTTTCGTCAAAGAACAAACAACCGAAAGTCAATCGTGTTCATTTCACAAAACCGAAGGACAAACCTCAACAACCTGCAAACACTGATACAAATAAGAGAAAGGCTTTATCAATTATCAAAGATGATAATTCAAATTTAGTGGTTGTCAATGAAAACAAAGAACTCGTCAAAACTGATAAACTCGTTGCAGAAAACCTGGAATTTTTTGTTGATTCAATCGCTGAAGATTCGCCTATTACTCCTGTATCCGGGAATTCAAGTTATTCTAATTTAGTTGTGGAAAGATCAATGGGTAGGAAACTTTTTGATAGATTATTATTATTACATTTTTGACACCCCTCATTTTAAAGGTAAAATCTAGCCACAAAATTGCATATTATACAGGGGTTTACTTATGGTAACCAATGCCGAATCCAAAACCAAATGATTTTCTATGTCCGATACATTCATTGTTGAATATTTCCATAATTTGTACGAATCGCTGTATATTGCTAGAGATCAAATTTGATCAAGATGCCTATTTTCCATGCTTGTTAACTGTATCTTTATTTCTGGCAAGTGACTTGTGATGTCATCAGTTACAGATGACAGATCATGACCAAAAAGCTGTGAGGGTGAAGTGGTCATATGCTTTCTGTACTTGAAACCTCGTTTCTGTTGGTGTGTCTCAGGACTCAGGAGTTACTTTAGTTACTTGGCTATGGTTATTGGTTATCCCTTGTTTCGTTGTTTGAGGAGCGAGAATATTATTGAGTATACAGAATTGCCTATGTATTCAAATATTCTTTTTGTTTTTAGTTATTTTATGTGTGATTGCCTATGTATTCAAATATTCTTTTTGTTTTTAGTTATTTTATGTGTGATTTATCTCTTTAATGTTGTATTCCAGCTACTTCCAGCACCTCATCATATAGTGATATAGTGGGTGATACTGCTCAAAGTGAAAAACTTGATGAGGATTCATCACTCAATAAAGTTTTGTTCGTTGGAAATGATAGTTTCCAGGATGAGGATATTTCTCTACAAACTCTTGAGGATGTTGAAGCTGAATATTTTAAATCTGGTGAGTCCTCTGACACAAAGTGGACTTATGGATCATTTTGTATTCCCTTTCTTATTCTTGTTGGTATGAAACAATCGCTTTTTTTTATACTTACCGTAACCAATTGCTTTGACATTTTCGGTTGTTGAAAATTGTATTTCTGTGGGTTTTAACCTCTAAGGCAGGGGTGCAACCTGCGGTTATTTGTATCTGGCCGGCCCTCCTGTATTATTAAGGTTACACACCCTGCTCTAGGGAATTTTTTTTTGTGTGCGATGACGTTATCAAAATTAAAAAGTGCGCACCTTGTGGGGGTTCTGCATTTGTGGTCTAGTGGTTGGGCGAAGTTGTGAAGGCCACCGGTAGACTAGTCTATTGTGGCATACCCATGCTTCTTACCCATGTAAGAGTTTTTAAGTGTATAAGTATAGAATATGACATCAGAAAATCTGACGCTCACAAAATTTTGGGTTTTGCTATTTGTATACCCAGTCATGGTTGAAAGTTTCACATTTTTCCTGCTATTGATAGAAACAATTGGTTGTCTTTCATTGGGCAAAAGATGAACTCTTATATCGTTTTGCTCAAATTTTACGGTCTTTGTTGGGTTGGGGTGGTGTTTTATGTAGTTGTAAGAAACAAAACCACTTTTTTTAATAGTTATATATTAATATAAATTGAACCTTTATAATGGTCAACGAATTCACCTCACCTAACCAATAATGGACTTTGTGCTGGTACATTTGTACATTGCTCTCTTATGTAGTAAGTCTATGTTTTCATCTTTGTATTATTTAGACCCAACGTTGTTGCCTGTTGATGGTGAAAGCAATGTAATTGAATCATTAGAGGAGGTTAGTAATATTGCAAAATTTATTTTTTCCTTTCTCTAATATGCTCTTGCATGACTACAGAATTATAAAGACATCAGTAGCTGGTCATTGTCATTTTCCTTTTATGTTCAATATGATTTATATAGAACTTTTTTTTAATAGCTATAGTATATATAAGAGCTTCAATTAGGCTTGCACGTAATTGACAAAAATCAATTCCGTAATTACGGCCAAATAGATTACGTAATGACCCCGTAATTTCGATATTTTTTTCACGCATTTAAACCTATCATAACAACCAATTGAATCCACTTCTATTCCGAATGGGACATCGAAGTTTGGTTTTCATATTCCCGGCAGTACTACACGCCGGCGACAGGTGTTAAAGACAAATATCAAGGAGTGAATTCAAATTAATTTTATTCTGATTTTTATCTTTTGTGTTAGCTTTGATTTTCCTTTATCACATTTATCACCCAATTTTATGCGATCAATTTTATCATTACCGACACTGGTATACGGATATTTATGAAACGATAGTTGACTTTTTTAAAATCGTATTAGCGTATTAATAGGACTTTCGTATTAAATAAAAATTTCGGGTTTCTAATTTATTAATCAGACTTGTTATTTCACCGTTTTTATACAATATCCGACTTTACTACTTAGTTAGCATTTTATAATAATTATTGATGCCGAGTTATTGACGATATTCCGATTACCATGCTTCATTTTACATTAAATCATTTCGCGGCCTAAATATTATAACATTATTTGCGATAATTCAGATCAAATACTAATTATTTGCGCATAATTTAAATACCGTACTTATATGACATGCCTTCCCCGGAAATACAAAGTTATATCGCAAAACAATGCATTTTGTGACATTTATTTTGCACTCACGAAAATATTAATTTATTTTTCTAACTCAAGTCGACAATCCTATCGGCCAAGATTGACACAAGTTTGGTCGAATGCTGGCGGTATTCGAGACGATGATGAATCAAAATAAGTTGCCGCATTTGGTAAAGACATTTAATCATATTTGGCCGAAATGTTGCGAGGCATTGTGAAAAACATATTGAGCAAGGCCATGTCTGGAGAGATATTTAACGATAAAACCGGTAACAGAACTTCAAGATTCTGTAATAGAAAATGGTTCTCGCGCAGAATAAACACGGGAAATCCCGTCGTCTCTCTGCCGGCTCAATCGCTTTACCGATGCCGAAAAGACTAAGTTGCGTTGGTTCATTACGCAATTTCTCTTCCGTCGTCATATTGCTGTTTGATAAGCGCGACATTAATTATCACGGCATTATCTACGGTTAATATGTACATTGGCCATGCTAGATAAGTTGATAATAGATTAGTAAATGGCAACGCGTTATGCCTTCCCCACCTGCGTGACAAGAGAGAGAAAAACGGCTGCGAATACCGGAACTCTAACTTCTTCTACTTATTAAACTTTAATTTTTTACAATCGACGGAATTGACTGCTCTGAAAAGAGCTCGTTTCAATTGCCAAAGCGCTGACCAATAATTACGACTTTACGTAATTCGTAACTTCGCTTCCGTAACTCGAAATAATTCCGTAATTCCGTGAATCCGTAAATTACGTGCAAGCCTAGCTTCAATAGCTATAGCTATAATGAATTTTCAGTTTCTTAATATGGTTTCGGAGTTGTGGCAAAATCATAATATATAGAACTTTCATTACACTATGTCCTAAAATGCTATGATATAATCATACTGTTTTTTTTAGGCGTCTGTGTAGGTAAAACAATCTTATTTTCTTAGTTTTCAACTGTGTTGAATGAATAAAAAGTGGAATCTATTTTTTTATTTGTATTTTTTTCTGTCTGCAGACTGGAATCAACCATAGTTTCTAATAGTACAAGGCTTATAAAGCAAAATATTTTGCTCTTCGTTTCATTTAAAAAAAATATTTTTTTCATTCACAATTATTTTTTCACCAGGACTCCGACTCAAAAACAAATAAAGCTCTTCTTGAACATGATGCTTCAATCGCAGCTGCTGAACAAGAAGAACAAGAGTTAATGAAAGAAATTGAAGAAGAAGAAAATAAATATATTGATGTTGATTTGGAGGAATCAAATGAAGCAGATACAGTTGGGTGTTTAGATACATGAGAGATCACATCACTGCCCTATATATTATCTGAATAATCAATTCATTTAACGAATTATTCATAACACTTTGGCATAAATCCGATGCTTCCATACATATGCATATTAATAAAGTTTGGCTCATTTCTTCCGAAAATATTTATAACATATTCGTTGTCCACCTTATATATGGTATATTTCTTGTATAAATAGCATTGATCAAAGCCACTTCATGAGCGCTTGTCCCATAGAGGAGAAAATTACTGATAGGAGAGTTGCAACTTGCAAGCATATATTGGATATATATATTATTTTCTGGACGAAGAATTCACTACATATTGATGAATTTGTGACTTCTATGGGATAAGCTTTTACCAGAACTATAGAGTGGAGAGTCTGATTTCTATTGCTGACATGGCGACCATAGTTTCATTTTGTCCTTATTGTAATCTCAAGTCTGTATTAGGGTTTGGCAGCATTAGCAGCAAAGTTCGCTGTGCCTCACTCTCAATTTGGTTGTCCAGAAATAGGGGGAGGAAACTGGAAATCTAGACTTATTTTTTGTTTTCCCTAAAATTTGGGACAATATTTTTTACAAGAGTATGCTCTCATTTCCAAATGACTCAACATCTGGTGAATATTCTCATAGATTCCACAAACCTGTTCTATATCACACTTGAATAGAGAATCATAGAAGTTATCTCAATGGTTTTTAATCTTTACACAGCCAAGTGCATCTAGCAATGGAAAAAATTCCCTGGAAAACTCACAGGAAGGTTCTGATTGGAATAAAATTATGGCCAGATATGAAGGTATTCTGCAGGGACAGAGATTAGCTTTTTTTATTGTTTTACTTGGCGAGCATACTTATACGTAAAACCGAACCACTGCAGTTTCATTATTAATTTACATTGCTTCGATCAAAAGTGCATACCATCATTGGTCGGACTTATTTTAATTTAAAATTTACAGCTGAACAAGAGATGCATCAGGGAATGACTTGGGGTGATATGATTGATGAAGAAGAATTAAGAGAACCTGGTCGGGCTGTTCAAATGCATGAAAAATTATCATCACCATCTAGAAAGAGGTTGGATTTATTGAATCAGGGTATTCAAGAAAAGTTGTAAAAATAATATAATCAGTTTAAGCATATTGTGATTTTGTTTCAAATGGGTATAAAAAAATTGAAATTAATTTGCCGGGCATATGTATGGAATACCAAATTATTTTGATAAAGGCACTATTTTCAACTTGAACATTACTTAGGTTAGGACTCAATATGTATGGGTATTTTTGTCATCGATTTAGATTTGCACTGAATTTCATACAATCTTAATTTTTGACTTCCAAAAATTAGAAATGCCGTTTTTGGGATGTATATCATTCTTACTCAATTCTGGTGTAGATAAATTTACATGATCACAAAAAATTCCTGCAAGGATATGTCTTACATTTTTCAGAACACCTGCTGAATCTAAACGTAAAATGGAAGAAAAACAACGATCAGCTTCGTTGAGAAGACAGAAAATGGTTCAAGATAAAACTGAAAGAATTCATGTATTGACTGAAAAAGTGATAGAAGTTAAAAATTTAAAAGATGACTTAATTTCTGGGAGAAGGGAGTTGTTACAGGAATTACATGTTGTAAGTGTACTGTTAAGTGAGACCAAAGTTCTGTACTATTAGTTAGAGTCCAGTGGTCCTCAAACTCCATGATCTTCCACCTTCCAAACACTTTCATTAATTTGTGGTCCTGCTCTTCGATAAAAAACCTACCGGTAGTTTTGTTCTTTATCAAGTTTTTTGTCAGCTATTTTATTCTCAATGTTTAAAAATATAAAAACCCAACAAATGAAAGTGAAGGAATAAATGCTTTACAGCCAAAGAATTAATTGAACAAATTTAGTTTACAAATCAACACCTAATATAGATGGAACCGAGTGAGGGCTTTTTCTTGTGGCCCCCAGAAGGCTGCCCTGTGACCCCCTAGTAAGGGGACGATGCAAAGTCTGAGGAACCTTGTAGTAAAGCTGTTGTATTAAGCGTAATTAAGTTAAAATTCTTTGGTTCAAATTTCAAACCGCATGACCACCACTTTACTCTGGGTGTAATTAAATTGGCCTTCTAAAAAATATTAGCTCTATATGTATTAGTGGCCGCTTGTGCAGAGGCTTGTTGAGAGTAGAGGCGGAAAAACTTAACATGAACGAGTAGGCACTTCTCATGCTATAGCACATCACAGATCACATTTCCTATATCTTGTTGAATTTGAACATTCAGGAGAAACTTCAGCGGGCAGAGCAACAACGAGCAATGAAATTAATGAAGATTGTACAGAAAGCGCAAGCAGAAGAAACTAAAGTCAACGAAATTTTATTCATCAATGAACTTCAGGTATAATGAAAATGTTAGCATTGTTGGGGCTGTGTTTAGTATTTTTTGCAATTATTGCAAATAAATTTGTTTATACGTTTTGTTTTCTATCTGGAACTACACTGACAGTCTGACACAAATAGCATATTTTTACTATAAGCCGTAATCAATCCACTCAATATGTTTTATGTTGGTTAATTCTTTATGCAAATGATGAATAAATAGGCCGTTTAATCCAAACATGTTAACAAAAGCCGAAGCGATTTATTCTGATGCAAAGCAATATATACTACTTGTCGCCGAATAAAAACCAGCGATTTGATGATAACTTGGTAGGTTGATAGAGAAAGAAGTAGAAATTCACAGAAGTAGAAAGTACTATTGATGTAGTAAAAATCTGGTTTATGTGAAATGGATAGTTATTTGAAAGTGTGTTTTTAGAAGCATCTCGTTAAAATAAATAATTTTTATATTATTAGAATAGGTAGGAAGCAAAATTTATATCAATAATAGAATTGAATAGTTTGAAGTACATTCTTTTCGAGCTGTAGCCTCTACTATGTGTTGTTTTACTACTCTTTTCAATTTCGCTTCATATCCTTAATTGAAATATTTTTAATTGAATAGAATAAATAGGTCATGCTGTTAGTATATATACAATTTAGTTTGTTAGCGTTGTATTTCTGAAACAAAATTAATTTTCATAATATTCTTAGGAACAAAATAAAAGACATGATGTACTGAATAGATTACAAGAGCATGATGCAAGATTACAGGAAATACAGCAGGAACGAAATAAACAGCAAGAGGTCAAAGCTGCAAAAGAAGAAAATGTTAAGGTAGGCTCGAAATGTGGTCTAATTCACTCTTCAGAGTTGCAATGGATTCTGGATAGTTTTGCAGTGTTTTTATCGGTTAAAAAATCCTTGAGGAATCATATTGTAAGGAAAATTGAAATTCTAACTTGTATTGAGATATGGAATAATAGTTCTTTTATGATGCAAGAAATCCTTGGAATCTACAAGGCCGGGTTTGGCACAGTACCTTCAATTTTCTACACTCTGTATCGGTCAAACCCAAACCTCTAAACTATAATATCAACTTGCTAACTACTACTGTGCTAGGCCATTGCAAACAGTTGAATATTGATTAAAAACGTTGGAGTCTGGGCAAATTCACAATCGACATCTGACCTCGAGCTGGAAAAGATTTTGACTTCATGTCTCCAACTCTGGTGTCCAAAAATATTTTGACTCCTGACCACAGACTTGGTGTTGTCAAAAATTTGACCGACTTCAGCTTTATACCTTTAGGAAATATAATTTTGATCATTAAACTTTTGCTTGGCATATGCGAACTTTTTGAAATAGACTGTAAAGAACGCTTGGTGTACTTGATGATTATTATGTTTCTATATAAAGTTTGTCTTCTATTATCTCCCTTGTAGGTATGATATTCTGAAATTTCGACTTTGACTTTTGCCTCCAGGAAGTTTGAAATACGACCCAGACGCTGATGAAAACTCGCCAGACTTCGACTACAAAGCCCTGTATAAAACTCCATATTGAAAAATTCTTGTTTATACATTTTGCTGCACAATTCAACAATGTTACTATAATAGACCAGTTTTGTCTGTCGTAGTTACCTGTAGTTTTTCTTTGTTTCCTTCAACATCTTTTTTATGCATCACTGGCTACTTGTCTAGAGCCCTATTCAGAGTGGATGCATAAAAGCGTTCTATAAATTATTGCAATTATTCACCGCATATCCAGAAACAGAATTAGTGACTGATGACCAATAAGCCAATGACAAAAGTCAAGAACACGTCTCAGATTTTGCCATCAACTGCGGAGTTGTTCAAGGATCTGTGTTAGGCCCCCTGGAATTTTTAATTCAAGTTTCATAGATATATACTTTTTGTAGCTTTTCAACTGTAGCTGTAGTATTCAACTGGACATTTCTTTGTATAGGAACGACGAAGACTGCTTGAAAAAGAACGTCAGGAAAGACTCAGTGAATTAATCAATAAAAGAAAAGAACAAGATTCAAGAATTGAACAACAAAAACAGGAAAAAGAAAAAGAAAGAGAAAAATTGGCAAGAGACAAAGAAAGGTAGCAAGTCCCTATCATTCACCTTTAATAATCGAGATATACTTTTACCATGTTTCACAGATGTTGGGAACAATCAAATATAGACATATTTAAAGTTTATGCATATTAATACAGTGGAGTTGTTGGAGCTACAGCTAAGCTTGTCATGATGAATGATAAAACTGCATTTGATGTTTCATGGTAGTGGTCAAACCAGGAAAACATCAATGGCTTATCAGGCTGGAGGTAAAACATGAAGCTTCAGAGCCATTGTGATTTCGAACCAGCTTCCCACCCCTGGTCACAACTTAGTTGAAGAACACAATTTTTGGATCTCCGCTATAGGAGACCCTTATTATCAGTTTTTCTGTCTGTTTGTGTGTTCAGCTCTGGGGTCTTAATGACTGGATCGATCTAGATGAAATTTCACATGCGAGTTATCCTGTCACCCTAGTACTGTGCGTTTTATAAAAAGTTGGGAATGAGGTTTCATTCCCATGGCAACAACGAAAAAACGCGCCGATCGCTATAAAATTTTAAATTTTTCCACAATTTATTGCAGTTTTCTCTTCAACCATGTCGAAAATTGAAATTCCAAGAGTGCTACCTTCTGCAAAAGAAAACACTCTTTTGAACAAGTCATCTTTCGTCTCGATATTCCATGAACTGGAGAAGCCTTAGGGATTTTAGTGAACATTATTTTAATCGTTAGCTACAGTATATCATCACGCGAGAATGTCTACGAAGCGCGCAGCGTTTAAAATAAACTGGCAGTTTCGCTAACCCGTTCACTTAATCACGCTGCCGTTATAGATTCACAAGTTTCTATGAATGGTAACCGGTTGAGTGCGGGCCTCAACTATGCGCGGAGATCCTGGGCGCCTACCGGCTTGTTCTAAATAAGTCAATTACACATTATTCAATTAGGGCAATATTGAGTACATAATCCTACCCGGGCCTCCGTGATCTAACAAAGTTAGGCCATCACTTTCTATTTTTTTTTTGTATTGTAAAGGGGTATTCTTTAGGACCATAATCCTTGCAATTAAACCACAATCCAATTCATTTCACCTTGACAGCATTTTACCATAATCATATTCATCATCGTTAGAACATCAAATGTGATTGAAGACTTTGCTTTCACTAATTTCACACGTTCATAATTTAGAAATATTGCATTTAGGACATTTCTGGGCAAATGATGAAAGAAAAGGCCGATTTAATTAAACCGTGTTAAAAACAAGCCGAAGCGATTTATTCTGATGCCACTCATGATTTCTATTAAGTTGTGATACTGATATCATCATTAACTCTGATATAAAAATGTCTCTGTATAAATGACCAGACATATACTTATTAACTCATATCGTCATATGTGAGAAACTCATATACTTGACATTCATCTCTTGTGTGCGATATGCTGACCAACTTTAACCCAACTTATTTATGACCTAGGCCAAATTCAGATTAGATTAAGATTCTGAAATCAGAGATAGCCAATACTGAATATTTCACTATTTAGAATATATTTCGAAGATTTTCAAATACATTTTAAATTTGGGAAGTCCATGTGGATAGTTGCATGAATCATCATATCTTCAAAATGAAGCTCTGAAGCCATTGTTGTTTCAAACCAGCTCTTCAGGCCTGAGAGAGATTTATTATTTTGTCAACCAAAAAATATAGTCACCAATGTAGTTAATAAAAAGTCGACAATAATATGTTGTTTTGGTATGGACAAGAGAGAGAGCGATAGACCCATACGATCGAGGTCAACTCCCACCACAACTTAGTTGAAACTTGAAATGATAGAATTTTTCTGGTTAGACATAGTCAATTACACATTATTAAATCAAGGCAATATTAAGTACATAATTGTACCCTGGACTACTGAACTGGCCAGCATAAGAACCTAAGAGCTGTCCTTCGTGATACCAACACAGTTAGGCGATCATCTACTAATCCCAAAAGAACAATAATTACCCGATTGAATATATGCTTGAAAATGATTTGTATTAAATTCCTGTAGCCTTGCTTTAGTCGCTCAAAACTTCATGAGGATGAGAGAGTGTTTAGTTATGCCTCTTCAGCGAACCACTGGCCTTTTCATCAGTGTTTGAAATTTTTCCTAAGTGTTCTTTCATACTTTTGCAGAGAAAGAAAAATTCGTTTATCTGCTTTAAATGCAGCACAACAAGAAGCTGTGACTGAACTTCAGAAGAAGATACAAATAAAGGTATTGGGATTCATATCATATGGATATTTTCTGTGACATACACTATCATCTATTTATCATGCAATGTAACCTTGGTTTAAACTAGGATTATTGACTTAGGTGAGAACTGATAATCTGTCAGGCAAATATACACTATTGTAATGTTCAAATTCTTTTTCAAGAGAAAATATTAAAGTTCTCAGTAGGGAGATGCTGAGAACATAGTAACATTTTTTTTGACATGGGGACTTGACAATACCAAATATTTCGTGCTATGTGATCATTTCTTGCTAACAAAATAAAAAACCTACCCTAGATGCTGAGATTTTACGTTAAGACCTGGTTTTTATTCTAGTCTCAGAAGTTTTATTCTCCCTAATATTACCCACTTCAACTTATTGAATTAACAACACAGCATGATGAGAGTGAAAGACGTCATCAAGAGCAGTTGGAACAAAGAAAAGAGAAAGCACTTGAACTTAGTCTTGGAAAATTTTCTCTATCATCTAGTGGCAATCTCCAACCAGGAGAATTACAAAGCACGATTTATGAGGGTGAAAAAGCAGCACAAAGAGCAAATGGTGTCAACAGTTCACTGGACTTGTGTTTAGTGTCAATGTAGGTTTCACTTCCAAGCTTTTTTTGATATAGAGAAAAATATAGAGAGTTGTTGACTTGAATCATTGAGGCTGTAAGTTTACCGCTTCCTGCCTACACTTCTGTTGCAAGGGCATCTTACATAGCTATTGCTTAAAAGCCTTTTATCAGTACTTATTTCATTCATACTTAGACGTTTGCTGTTAACAAACTGTGCTGTGGAAATATGAGAATTTTTTTTTCTATTTTGTCATGGCTGATCATTCACAGCTTCCCCTCCAAACAAGTCTCTGTATGAGCTTCCACTGATGTATAATGTAAGTATCTATTCTTTTTGAAAAAGCAGCTTGTCCTTGTCTACACAATTTATCTTCCTGATAGCGTTTTACTTAAATCGATCATCATCCTTAGAACATCAAATGTGTTTAATGACTTTGCTTTCAGTAATTTCACATATTTATACAAGAAACATTGCTTGGCAAATGATGAGAGAAAAGGCCGATTTAATTAAACCATGTTAAAAACAAGCCGAAGCGATTTATTCTGATGCCAATGTGATTTCCATTATTTCGTTTTTTTGTGTGCGAAGACATCAAAATGAAAAATTGAGCACCTCGTGGCGGTTCCGCGCTGGCGTTGGTTGCTATCTTCGTTTTGGTCTTTATATTCATATATTTGAGCATTGCTCTCTTGTTAACTGTGCTATAAAATGTAACTGTATATCTTTGGGTGAGATATGATGAACAACTCACCGACTATCCCAATTTTTTTAAGACCTGGGCCAAATTCACATTCATATCCAGATTGACATATTGGAAAGGTTTATATTAAACTGGAATACATATATAGATATATAAGGTGTCCATGAAGTCTTGAATTTTTTTAAAATTGCGAAGGGAATTTATTGTTTTGGCCCTCACAGATGTATTAAATGAAGTAAATAAGAAGAAATGAAGTTAAGATATATAGAGAACTGACTTCATATAAAAATTGAAATTGTAAAAAGACTTTATGGACACCCTGTATATCAGTAAATGAGAGCAATGCACTAATTAATCGACATGAAGCTACCGCTACAGTAAACATATGTTTGCTGAGCAAGAGCGTGGGAAGTTGATCTGCAGACATTTCCTATCAGCAATTTTTCTGAAAATTTGTAAAGTTGGGGTTAAAGAACAGTCCCCATTTAGCCCGGAAATGCTTTAAAAAGATTGTCGAAGTAATAGACTTCACTTCGAGTAGATGCTTCCATCTTCAAGTACTGAAACTTAAGCAATTGGTCCTGTATTTTGTGATAGAAGTGTTTTTTCAGGCGATGGCAACAGCATGAACATCATCACCCACAAGAGTTTAAGTTTAGCAAAAGGATCCAAATGTTCATTTGTGTTCTAATATCGAATCACAATGTCATTCAATTTTTAAACAGGGAAGAAAATGAAACAGGAAAAGGCGATGCATCTGCAGGTACTAAAAATACACAACAAGATGGATCAAATGCAGTCATGTCTCCAAGAGGTTGCACAGCGGCTGAAGAAAAAAGGGTAAATTTGTCTGTTTTTCCTATGCCTTCAAATCATGATACAAGTGATCGTAAGTTCTCACTTCACATGCTTACTCTGTTCATCTCATCAAAGTATTGTATTTATCCTTACACAAAGCATAGCATAAATTTCATTTCATATGCTCACTTTTAAAATTTGCTCCACAATATGTATCTATACTGGCCTAAAACGTTGAGAGAATTTGGACAGGTGTGCTCATTTTTGAGACAGCAGGCATCTGAAATGCCGGAAGAATTTAATGTGAAATGGAATTTTACGGAAATTGCATCCATTTCAGGAACAGTTCATGAATGCAGTTTAAAACAAATGTATATGTAAAATGAATCATATATACCAAGACTGTTTTAAAAGTAGCTCTTTTTGGTAATCATTCACGAACAGAAAATATCTATATTTTTGTTAGGGGCTCATTTATGGATTGTTTTGCAATTTATCACAGAGTAGCTTAGTAAAATAGCTTAGTAAAATTATTAACATCAAAATTAAGAACTTTGATAAATAGAAGACTTCAAAAGCTATTTCAAGTCCGCTACATAAAAGGAAAATTCCATCCCGGGGCCTTCGGCTCACCATGAACTGCATATTCTAATCCTCCCATAAATTTGTGTTTATACCAGATACTGAAGTTTAATGCCAGTTGAATTATGATCTATAATAAGTTTGTAAATCTCTACTTTTGCTCCAGATTGCAAAAGAAAAAGAAATTCAAATGAGAGAAAGGAAAAAAGCAATGAGAAAAAGAATGAAAAAATTGAAAACAAGAATGTCATCAAGGTAAGGAAGGTGTTTGATAAGGTAATCCATCTGTTATTCTAAGGGATTTTAATCTACATATACTCATTACAGAGGGAAAGAATTTCTGAAGACATTAGATCAGAAGTCATCAACCACGTCCAGCAGTAAGAACAAGTAGGTTTAATCTTATTTTCGTCACTTTTTTATCATATATTATAGCACCTGCAATCTATTTACATGGATTTTGAATTTTTCCAAAAATTCATTTTTGAAACGATTACTTTACATGCAAATTACTTTATGTGTAAAATAATATGATAAGGCAAAAGTCAAGTGCACTCTCAGAAGTAAACTCATCTTTTAGGCAATGTTATAGGGCTATAGGCGGCCACTTAAAAGCATCAGTTACTGAAACCATTCAAGTGATGCGTCAGTATATATACTAACTGACCTGAGATATGAAACAATTCAACATAATAAAAACATTTAGATGACATTGATTTTTTGTTACCCTTGCATTGTATCAACACAGAGTATACAGACTAGTGAAAGACATCAACCGTCAACTCGCAAATCAAAAAGAGAGTAGTGGTCCCTGGCCAGCTAATAGAGTGTCAGCTCTGGATCGTGCATTGGGAGAAATCAATAGATTATTAGAGAAGAAGGTAAATATATAACTTGGACAGTGTTCATTAAATGTAATTTAAAATTTACCAAAATGTTCCAATATGCCTCGAATAACTCCTATGTCCTCTCAACACCTTGATGCGTGTAAAATAATGAACTGAAAAATCAAATATCCCCTCACCCTACATGGTCTGGTAGGCTGTCGATAGATGTGCTTCGTCTTCTGATTATACGTCTTATAGGTCTTCTTGTCCCCAGTATTAATATGAAAATGAAAGAAATGAAGTCTAAACAATTGAGTATTCCATATCAATCCCTTGTTGCTTTCTTAATATTTATAATTTAGCTGTTGGTCAATTCTTTGAGTGGTACCTGAGTCTCGACATAATCTGTCAAATAATAAAAGGTCTTTGTCTTGGATTTTAGTTTTTTTTGGTCAAGCCCAACTCTCTTTTAAAGCGATTTGTTGCGCCCTATATACCACAATCAATATATGTGATGAATGAAGCGGCAGTCTCTATCTAGGATCTCCTCCTTGTTTACGATGTTATGTCTTTTTTCGTTCCTCAGTCATTTTGCCCTTGGCAATTTCAAGGCGTTAAAAAGGCTACAGTCATATCTATACATAAAGAAATATTCTTTTAGTTTTTGCTTTTTAAAATTGACAAACGATGATGGATGAATCAAATATGCACTGAAAGTACATCATGTTGGACCTCTTCCAATATCCATTATGCTTGTATCATATCATATTTTTCATGTTGATTATATTTCACCTTGAAACAAAAAAAAAACGTTATCCCGATACCACTTCTGTTGAAACTTGATGCTAATTGGACGAAATTGTTTGTTTCCTATAGCAACCCTTTTTTAAACACACAAAATGCATTGGTATCTCAAAATAGAGTATAAAATTTTTACACTTTGGTAAGCGTGATAATGCACTGATTTAGTCTCGGATATTATAATTCAGTGCCTGGCCATGCTTGGTAAGACTTGGTTTAGGGATAACCAAATGCTTATTGCCACCTATGCTTATTAGCATGCATACTGCATTAAAATGAATGTGTTTTTAAGCCGCATATCGCATGGTATCAAATTTGTATGTCTCGTATTACAAGTTGAGAACCGCATTACTCATTCAAGTTTAGACTCCGTTAATTACGGTTATCTCGGTAGAAATATGATTTATGTATACTAATTAGCATTTTTTTTGCAAATTTTGATAATTTTTGGCACATATTTTGTTGTTTTTTCCCTCAAAAATGAATTTTTTGCTCATGAGATAAACAAACGTAACGGAAAACATGACATACAGTTCAATCCACTCTATCTTTGTGTGAGTGCATAGTACACAAATTATAGGCGATTGCGATCTACCCCTAGTTTATATTCAACACGTGGGGTGGCCGCAAAAATTGTGGATTGATAGCACTTCAAAGACTTAGGTATAGCTCTTAGCGCGTCAGTGGTTGTTTGCAAGTCTTTCATCAGTAATATTTCTGCTTCAAGTTGAGGGCTCGATACCTTGTTCTCTTCGAAATGTATAAAATCAAAAAAAGTATACATACCATACGTTTTAAATTTTAGGGTATTTCATGATACTTGCTGTTGTTGTCAAAATATGATGTTCGACTGATTTGTTAATTGGATTTAATTAAGATGTCGACATGACTGATTAACAAAACACTTTTTAAAATAGTAAGATGGTGTTGTCAACCGGCCTTGCTATTAAAATGTCTGCTTTGTAGAACATATTCCTTTACAATAACTTGCTGTGTTCAATGTCATCGCATGGTATAATAGTACACCTAGACATCGCTTATGGCTTCCGCAAACGCATATCTTATCATGCCATAGTCTGCATGATATTAGTGCGTGGATATTGGGATCATTTTATTATCATATTCTTTAAGGTGTGGTCACTGCCCGTTAATTTTTGTCAAGAATGACAAAACTCTTCTATTATTAAGATGTTCAAACGCGAATAAAATTGTGGTTTAAATAAATTTAGGAATATTTGAAAAACTTATGATGAAACAAATGCTACTTGACAAAATTATTCCCTGAAATTTAGAATTGTAGATGATCGAAATTTTGTCACAATTCAAAAACTAACTTGGCCTTCTTTTTTCTTACAATTCTTCCAAAAGTGATAAAAATATTTTTAATTAGATAACATAAATCATTATTCATTTATTCCTTCATTCTGTACTGCTAACAATATATAATCATTCCAACAGAAATACGATAGGATAATATTGCTATATTCAAGTGTAAGGATTTAGATTTTGATCTTCTTGTCGGAAGCACCGGAATTGAATATCTGTACTTTGAAGATGTTTGAATTTTCACATATTTTCGCTATGCATTAAAGAGCGGTCATGCCTGGCCTTGTTTTTTCTTCAATTCCATCCCTAAGACATCTCTGGGTCATGTATGGTGAAGTAAAATATGATGCCGACTTTTCGCTTGTGGAAACAAAAACATCGGATTTTCAGATATTCTCAATTTATTCACTTGTTCTTTTTCACACGCCATTTTTAATCCACCAACCACTTGAAACCGCCATTTTTATTCCATTTTGCAAATGAATGATGTGCCCTCGGCGTGATACATGAAAGCTAAGTTCAACAATGATATATTGAATCAAAATAATCGCTCTCTTGACTGTACAAAAATAGTAAGTGATTTTTTTTGAGCTTTTTATCATTTTGTTTCGAGTTTTGAGGATTTTCATTCTCGGTTTATATTTGAAATTTGAGAAATATAGTACTGTAGCGTTATGACGTAAGCTCAACTATACTTCATTGTGATTGCTCTGTGATTGCCCCTAGTGGTTAGCGGTATTACCTGCATCTTTTGACAATAAATATAAAGATCTTTGGCCCCAAGCCTGACCCTTGCGAAATAATCTCGGAACATGCCTACTTTCTCGCTCAGGGTGTAGGATATAAGGTATACCATGTAGAACCGGAATAAATTATTCCTCCAAACAATCTTCCGACTTCGCACATCTGAAGGGTTGCTTGTCTAAACCCTTGTTATGAGCTAGAGAATGAAACACTACTTTTTGAAAGCAAAATAAAAAAAAAAATTGGAGAAAATTCATACACACACTCAACTCAACAGCGACGTTTCGAGCAACATCCGAGATGTCTACAATCTCTGCGCGTATTTTAGTAGCTTCAAATGTCTAAAGAAGCATGTTTTGGCGCTTTCGCGAGAGCAAACGATTTCTTTCTAAAGAAGAAACTAGTTTCATCTATACGTATTCGTTAATTGTGAATATAAAATTCATAAAAAATTTAATGGTGTTACTGGAATGATAATTCATCCTATAATAAACTACGCAACCTAAATTATTTTAATCGGTGTTTATTTTCAACTTTCCATCCTTTTTGACCTTTTGTTTACCAAAACATTATACAATAAAAATACCTCGACCTCACCGATAAAAACAAAAATATTCCACCGACATTTAACGACCTCTATTTATCTGTATAATAAGCATCGTAAGGCGGATGAGTTATTGTTTAAGAGGCGAAAATTTGGATCCAAAATAATCTAGTTTAGCTAGTTTATTTGCATCGTGTTCCTTTTCCATCATCTTTATCATTCATTTGCGCTTTTTATTTTTTGTCCCGATCAATCATGGGATTCATTTATTTTGAGCTTTGAAAGCTTGTGTTATATATATCCCTTGCCTAATCGAGTATAACATGTTGGTTAATCAAACGAAAGGGTTGAATGTCTTACTGGATTAACCTAGTATTTGAGTAGCTGCGTCGGATCGAACGGCTTATGCTCAATTTTTGCGGATGATTATGCCCATGAACCGCGGCCTGGCGGATATAATTGCCAAACTTGCTGATAATTCGGAACAGGTGGTTAACGATCTAATAAAATACATTTTAGTATTCTACCCTTTTTTTTTTTTTCGGGAATTTAAATAATACCGAATACCTCTGAATTTTTGGTTTTATTTTTCTGGTACTATTTATATTTTTCCTAACTACGTTTTACCTATTTTCGCCCGTCCCGAACTGTTGCAGCGAACTCAAAAAATCTTGACCCTTAGTACCAGGCTGTTCTCGTTATGCCTATTTATGAGATGAGAAAAAATTATCGCGTGATTCGTGAATTCGATGTATTCCGTGTATTCGTGTGTAATTGAGCGTTACACTGATCACATTGTACCACATAAAATTATTGTCAAATGAAAGGAAGTTCTGGTATGGCGCGCTTCCTGAAATAAGCGTATTTCGTGTATCTGGGTGTAATTCACTATTATTTAATAGAGCTATACACATTTCGTCAAATTAGACAATGTTTCCGTAAATTTATCCATATGTACATTTTTATATTCAGTATCAACTTTAATGAAACTGTGACGACGATCTTTTTGATTTCAGTTATATAAACAAATTTCTATTAATAAATCAAATGGTAATTCGATATTTAATTTTCGATTTAGACAAGAACGTAAAGGTGGGCAGTGGGGCAGCGTTAATTTGGACTGATGAGTTATTATGGAGTCGGGTTTCATATAGTCTCCCCATTTTTTGCCCCACAAATTTTCGTTTAGCGCGCATAACGCGCTCTTTGTTTTCCCGCTCAAATGAAAAAAGATACCTCATGCATCACTCACGCCAATCAACTTCGATAATTGGCCAAATATTGGGCTATTTTTCTTATTTCTATGTCTTCTTTTTCAAATAGGCTACTTACTACACAAAACTGTCGTATGCTCACCACTAATAGATATCTGCCATCATTATCATATTCGGTTTCAAGAACGGTGTTGCCAAAACTGAGGGCTACGTTGGAACAAATTTAATAACCAAGGGTTCATATCACCTTTTAGCCGGTTTGATTTATTTTCCATTTCCATTTAGATATGCGGTAACATCAAAGTTGCCGTTTGACAAACACGACCCAAACATGATTTTTCGTTGTCCCGTGATTTGTATAAATATATAGGTCACTCATTTCACATTAGATGTTAAAAAGTGAACTCAATTACTCGTTTAAATTCGCAATGGGCCCAGAAAAACTGAAATGGTGGCGTTTGTGTATCGACTCTTCTTTTGTAAATGCAAATAAGTTGGTACTCTCGTAGTATGTGAACCAAGATGGCGGACACCGGAACGTAGTATGTGTACCAGGTTGGGGTTAGGCCATACTTTCAGCTACGCAGTTGGTTTGTTTTTTAATGAACTTAATGGATTATGTTTACTCGATCCTCTCAATAATGATCAATTTTTGATAGATATTAATGCCTTCTTTGGAATGGTGTTTGAGCTGATTTTCCACTTGATCTTTCCCGCCTTTTGCTTTTTTTTTCATCTCACTTTTGATTTCATTTACATTTACACAGTATATATATATACCAGGATCACTTTTTTGTTTTCCGAATTTCAAGTCGTTACATTGAATACTGTACTAGTGGTGCACATCTTTTCTGACTATCCTAAAATCAAACCTGTTTATGTGGCAAGGATTGGCAACCCGATTGCTTTAGTGGAGGAGGCCATTCTAAAGGCGATTAGGCGATCATATATTCATTCCTATTTCTGGCTAAGCTTCGTGTTTACCCAAAAAAAATCTCAGTGAGCGGCGGAGGACTCTCGGCGACTCGTTCGATACAGTTTCAGATGGTTTATTTCTGATATTTCGTTCCAATGTTTAGTATTGCAAATCGAAATTAGAATTAATCATTTATAAAAGCGCATTTTTCGGATTTTTATTATCACATGTAAACTATATAGGGATTGGTATCCCTAACTTCAACTAAAACAAACTGTCTTCATATTTCGCATCTTCGGCTATCAAATCTTTATGTAATGGTACGTTCTAAGTAATTTCCAATAACGAAATTCATATGTAATTTCTATATAGGACTCAAATAGTATTATGTAAAGAATTCGTGGTCGGAAACCTAATAGGGGTTCGGAAGTATTAATAAGTGATGGATGGGGATTAGGGGTATTACTCCTGCTTTAGATATTTTGGATTGAGATTGTGGATACGAATTGATCCCGTATTGGGTAACGGTAATTGCCTCTCATAAAAATTTCCAGTGTAAAAAGCCGGAAAACAAATACGATTAATCGGTCAAAAAGTTCGAGTTGCTACACACAATGTAATTACCTTAGATTAAACCAGAAAATTACTCTTATATACGTGTAACTAACTATACCTGTTTGTAATATTGTACTACCAGCACCAGGTATGTCCAGTAGTGAAAGCTTGGAAAAAGTACACAATTTTCGGTATTCGCGTAGTGTGTGTACATTGTACAAGGTTAGGGTTAGGCCATAATTTTATTCTGATTTTCCTTATTTTAGTGCTATTACGAGTTCGGGGAATGTCTGTGTTAGTCAAGTGAATATATCTCCTGTCCATAGGTATCAGTCCCTTTACATAATTTGATGTAAAGTAGGCGAACGAAATTAGTTACCTCCATATTGGTACACACACTTCTGGAGCGCCCGATTTTCGTCTGGAACCAATTACTTCTCAAAATACATTTGAAATATGTAATGTTTATTGTATTGTATCAATGTAAAACTTAGGAGAGCTATAGTCAGGTCAGGTAGGGCCAAAACCGAATAATTTAGTATTCCGAATACATTCTAAAATAAACTTTTCCAATATGAACTAATATATTCTAAAATATGTCCGTTCCACGAGTACTCCTATTGCGAACAACAAGTACTCCTATTGTCATTCCTATTGCTCTTTGTTATTTATTTTGCATCTCCCCTTCATCGGATACTGAGATTCTTTGGATAGTGACAAATTGCTTCAAACAATGAATGCCAAACCACAAATCTTATTATAGACTTGCATTTGTTTGTTTGACATTAACGTTTATTGGAGTTACTGGTAAATAGCATTCTGACGAATTGCTTCAAGCAGTATTCGAGGTCGCACCTCCGAACATTATGACGTAATAGAACCGAAATCACTGGTGTTATCCTTTACATTTTCATCTATTTATATTCATCTTTTCGTTTATCTTACCGGTTCATCGTATTTCTTCAAACAAACCAATATTATGACGTCATTTTGAGCCGCAACCGAAGACGATAAAGTCATTCGCTGAAAGATATCGTCATTTTTTCCAAAATATCGTCATTCTTCACCCAAAGTTTTGAGCAAAAACAATCTTCCCTTGAATCGCGGTGAAAGACTCGTTAGTTCCACTTGCACACTCGATGAAGATCGATGGTGACAAATTGAGGCAACTGCGCGTAGCGCGGCGTGTCTAATCCTATCATGGTGCTAGACGTCTCTGACTCAAACGGACGGGTTGGATGGATAATTTGACAGCCACTAATCTCTGCTGTAGAGCTGTTAGTCTGTATTAGCTGTACTTTTTAATTATAAGAAAATTTAAGTATGGACCTCATGTGGAACGTGCTATTTATCCTATCGCCCATGCGTGGTATGGTTATGCGGATTGTTATATTACTTGCAACCTTACGATAATAAAAATATAATTTGGATTTTTGTTGCGTAAAACTGGATTCTATTTGTTTTTACTAGCTTTTCACTTTTTGGACGTTTTTTTTATTTTTATCTCGAGTAAAAAGGAGATCAAACAAACTGACAGTGATACGTCACAAGAATCTGAAAGGCCGTAAGGCGTAAACGAACTAATATGATGAATCGTAATGCTTCCGGGCAGTTTATTTTTATTTTATTTTTTTTTGATTGTTTTTTTTACTTTTTACAAATACTTCACTCTACCTTTCTGAGAATAAAAAAAATATAGTAATTATGATAGTAATTTTGCCGTAATTGCATATTTTTCAATTCAATATTTTAAAAGATTTCTGTTTACTTTTTTATTTTTCGTATGTCTAATATATCGGAGAAAACAAACTTTTAGTTGTTCAGTCCCGTGATTCAAACAAAATGTGATATTTTGCCTTAAAAAATAAAACTATAACTATCACTCTTACCGATATTCACCATGAAATGCTACTGTAATCAATTAAGTTTTTTTACTTCATCCACTACATTTGTATATATGTAAACCATTAGTTGCACGAAGCACATCAAAGGTATTTTACCTAGTTTGACAAAGGAAATCATCAATACCCCGTATTTTCCGAAGAAGTCGAATCCGAATCTTATATAGCCGAACGTTTGTTTTGTTCACTTTTTCAGATTAGGTACTGAGTACAGTTTCCCCATCCAGTTTTTTTTCGTGAGACTAAGCGCTTATATTATTATAAATATAACATTACACAATATTTGTTTTCTAATTATGACGTTTTCAGTAGCATAGGATGTTTTTCTGCGTCTTTATGACGCACATATATTTACGCACAGATTCACCCCAAATTAACGTAAACATGTATTCCACAATGCTTTGTAAACCCAATTTGTTGATTATAACATTTCCCCTAAACAAAGGGGTGGGTGGCACCTGCGAACCCTTGTATTCCAAACAATGGTAGCTTTGTACGTGCGCGGTGTTTTATTTTTGCATTTTCGTGGAAATTTTGATATTTTTTTAAACGAAGAATACAGTATCATGCTTGTTTACCTACCGGCCTTATATACATCGATGATAAATGGAAAAGAGATAAAATCGAAATGTGTACCCTTAAATTGTGTAATGATTTTGCCCTTTTGTGTTTTGCCGACAATAGGTGTAAGAATTCTGGCGCGTTTTCGCGGCATGCAATGCCAACAATGTGAGTGTAGCATAAACTTGCAGTTTATCGGTTGGGCCACCATTAGCGAGCTGTTGACGAAACACAAGCGACCTACGACCGCACGGGTAGTTAGTTATTCTAAAAGCGCCAAAAAGATTTGCCCTACACGAAAATTAATTTTGCATAATAATTCAGGATTTCTGTGGAATAGTTTATTTTCGCCTTGGTCGATAGGTGGCGACAAAAGGCCATAACAACCCAGTTTTTGAGCTTGAAAACTAAGTGGCGGTAATGATGTATTGTAAACAATGCGACATCGGATAATGAAATATTATTGAATTGTGGTCCATTGCATCTCTCTGAATAACATTCCATCCAAAGCGTGCTCATTTTCAGCACTAATCCGTTTCAGTCCCTAAGACTAATCAATGAAATTATTGGCGGCAATTGGCGTTTTTGCAATAATCATCTGAGACACGGGCTACCTGTTCAATAAGGCAGTGAGTTATCTGTACGAAAACCAAACTCCGTCTGCCTGTAACGCTCAAATGGACGCATAACCCCACCCCTATGATTTAACAAAAGTTTTAGTTTGAATCAGTTTGTATACGTTTTGTGGAATTAAGCAGCAATTTTTATGGTGCCAACTAGGATTTCCTTTGAGAAGATCCCAATAATTTTCTTTTCCAACTTTATCGCTTGGTTATATTCGCAATTCAGGATATATGATGCTAAACTTCTTTTATATTTTATTCTCTGTGGGGTAATTCTGATGGAAGGTATTTTTTTCTTTCAACAGGATGACGGCAGCAAAGCTTTATTTCGCACAAGTGGAGGTTTTGAAATGATTGAACAAGTTTTTGAAGTTCCTCTCAATTCAGCAACATTCCAAGGACAAAAAGGCGAAACTGTTTCCATTATTCCCGACAAGTAGGTTACAGTACGAGTAATTATTTTTTTTTGAAAAGATATTTGGAATAAGGGATAAGTGGAAGTATATATCGTTTTGGTATTATGTTGTTGTTGCTAGAATTCTTTCATTTGTTGGTATGAAAAAATCGTCTTTCTCTTCAATCACTGGACCTATTGCTTTAAATTTCCACTGTTAAAGATTGTTGTTGTCACTAGAAGGATATCACTTTTATTTGTTTTCAAAATTTCTGTGGGCTCTATTGGATTCGTTTTTTGTGTGCGATGACGCCATCCAAAGTAAAAATTCTTAACCTTGTGACGATTCCGGTGGTCGAGAAGACTTCGGTACCGTGCCTAAACTGTGAAACATTACATACACATACCCGTATTACATCGTTTTGGCTTTTGTGTCCATATATTCGAGCATCGCTCTTCTTGTGATTTATTTATGTCGAATTCAGATACAAAACATTTTAGATATTTTCTGGATTCCAGATTTGTATATTGGTGGTAACACACAGGCACCTCTCTCACATGCTTCAATGCAAATGCACTACTTTTAAATCATAAACCTTGACAAGGCAGATTAAAGCTTTTTTATTTATTCAAATATCATGATTTCTTATTTTCAGGACGATTGGAAACGCCGCTTCTACGTTCAAATCCGCTTGTGAAGATTGTTACGACAACGTTCTTTATGTTTTGTATTCAAATCGATTCACTGTGCTCATTGATGCATTGGCTCAACAATTGACAGTACGTATATTTTATACTGAAGATATTTCCCAGTTTACTAAAATTATAACTTCGATTGGGTTTAATGGACAGATTTTCGAAGTCATCGCGTAACATAATGCAGTCTGTAGTCGGTGGTTTTCAATTTTTTTGGCAGGCGCGAAGAACCTCTGTGTAATAGTTCAATTGTCTTTTACGTTCTGAACCAGTGTTCACTATTAGCGCACTTTTTTGCGAAAAGTGCGAAGCACTTTCGCAACTTTTTTTAGGGACTCCGAAATAGCACTTTTTTCCGATTTTGAGGAGAAATAGCACTTTTTTCTGATTTTGAAAGGAAAAAAATTCAAAATTGAAAAATATGTTCATGTGAGTCTTATTAAGTTGTCAAATAAGTAACATACCAGTACTTTTGTAACTCAATTCTGCATATCATAACGATATTTACCGGAATTCTAACCTATGAGATGCAGACATAGAAGATAAAGCTTTTGCATTAACCGCAAAATTCTTGTTAATAATATGATTATTATACAAGCACGCGTATTCCGCTTCTCCCGCAAAACGCTCCAACGGCGTAATCGCGGTGAGTTTCTTTGAACAGAGTGTGGTCATGTGACATCCACGAATTGCCACAAAATGAAACGATTTTCTGGTGCAAGTTTGACGGGCCTTAGTTCCCTTCTGGATTTAGAAAGTTCTGAAACCCGACACGACATTTTTTAGTAATATAATGTACGCTTATGCAATTATTTTTTGAATTAGAAGAAACTTTGCAAAATCATCAAATTAACAAAACACATATCATATGCCTTATTAACAGCCGTTGCATTGTAACCAGGAATGTTAAAAACACGTGGCATTTTTCGGAATTTTGCGACATTGCATCCATTTCTCATTGATATGCGAGGTTATGATATTAATGTCCAGAATATTTGTGACCGTAACACAATTAAAACCGACAGACTTTTGTCATTACGATATCTTATCTTTATTATTTAGCGCCGATAATGATAAATAAGAATGTGTAATTGCAATTCCGGAGGCGTATTTTCCTTTCTCTCCATGAAACGAATTTTACCGCCGTCGTGGGTGCATAAAAGGAGAGAAGGGTTATAAGTTAATTTAAGGACGTACTTTTCCCGACTCAATCACTTTTATGAATACGAATCACAGCGCATTGAAAAGACAAATAGAATTTAATAACATTAATTTACAACGATTTACGGGTAAGAACTAACCTAGGGCTATCGCTAACAGGTAGAAACGATAAATGTAAAAAAAGAAATTCCCTTGCCTTTTTGTGTCATATTTTTCAATTCCTAATTTTGCACAGAGCGTGTCAGCACCGTTTTTGTAAATTTAGAAACGTCGAACCATGCAAATAATGTATTTATGGAAATTTCTCAAGATATCGGGAAAACATATTTTATTTTAACCTAGAAATGCCATTATTGCCGATTCATTCACGAGTTTAGTATCAGAGTTTTAACTCAAATCTGAGTTACGTGAATACTCGACACTGAGTATTCAAGAGATTACCAATTTGCGGAGTTTTAAAATATTATTTTTACGAAAGTTACACGGACACGATCTAAAATTAAAAGCATAGAAATACCAACTAACAAATATCATCCGCGCTCACAAATATCGCATCCCGGGGTCAGTAATGGTAATATTGTTCGCCTAAAAAATTGCGACCGTAATTTAAACTGTGATACAAATCCTACACAGAAGATAAAAATCAATAAAATTAAATTGTGTTGTGAATGCACTCCGTAATAGTGGTCTTTAACATCTTCGCCGATGTGAACCGCAATTCTGTCCGAAATATAATATATTTTCTCGCACTAATCACACCGCGCATGTAAATAATCATTAAATGGCAATAAAAAATCAACTTCATTAACAATAAATTCCAAGTAATAGTTCCACATTTCATGCATTTGATCGGCGCTACATGCGAGCGCGTTTTTGTACATACAAACCATTATGAGGCTACTGATATCTGCATGTTATAGTTCTCTCTAAAATTAATTTTCGCGATTTTTAGTGTTTTGTTTCTGAATGCGGATACCGCTGACTGCGGATAAATGGTCGATGTTTAAAATAGGACTTGCAAAATATTCACCAACACCGACAGGCAAAGAAAGGTGTGCTATATGTAACTGGAATTTCGCTGTGAACGACCATACCTTTTATTTATTAAACGCATTATGTCGTCGTGAAACACACTTTTGGTGCAATGTTTTAATTTCAATTTTCGAGAATCATACTCGTTGTATTTTGTGTTCCTTCGCAAATTCTGCCTATATATGATGTTTTCTACCCGATTTTAACTAACTCACACGCAAATCAAGGCATGCCGACATTTTAAAAAATTGCTTGTCTTTGCGTAACTCTGAAATAGTATAACATTAATGTAAACGAGAAATTAGGCTAAAAGCTAGTTTAGATCACGAAACGGGGAAAGATTTTAGAAGTGATCTTGTGTAATATTAGGAGAAAAAGTTTGAAGGGAAAGTAGGTTAACTTATCTCTAAAACAGCGGGTGGTGTCTATCAAAATGATATTGCTTAATATATCGGAGAAAAAAATCTTCGAGTGAAAGTAGGTTACCCTATCTCGTAAAGCGGGAGATGACTTTCAAAGTAATATTGTGCAAATGTGCAATATTTTGGAGAAAAAGGTTTGAAGGAAAAGTAGGTTAACTTATTGCTTGAAACAGCGGGTGGCCTCTATCAAAGTGATTGCTTAAATAGCGGAGAAAAAAAATCTTCGGAGTGAAAGTAGGTTAACCTATCTCGTAAAGCGGGAGATGACTTTCAAAGTAATATTGTGCAATATTTTGAAGAAAAAGGTTTGAAGGGAAAGTAGGTTAACCCTTTTTTTAACAACACAACAATCGATAAAGAAATGAAAAGGGAGCCGGAGAAACATGACGTCAAACAATCTTATAAAACTGAAGAGGAGCGACTACTTTCAAGCATATTCTATCGGGAAGCGTGGTATACTAAAGCGATAGCGCCCAGATTTGACCTACCTACGAGGATGGAAAAAGTTTGTCATAGATTTATTATGATAAAATAGGCTTAGCTTAGAATATGAATCATCGCATGGTGCGTTAGTGCGCAATCAATTTGTGGTAGATTATTACAATTCCACTTCCTAATATTACGTTAAGCCAATTTTACCCGTAATTATGAACGAGGCATTTACCACTTTACTTTCTTAGAAATTAGTAGGCATGGCAGAGAAAAAGAAACAACGACATGATATTTTAGAGCTTGACGTTGACGCTTGGCCGGAGAAATGGAAAAGAGAGTTTCCATATATTATACACGATAAGAAAACAGGAACCGCAATCTGCACGTATGTTACTTACATTTCTGAGTTCATTATAAGAAAATTAGACAATATGGACCTTTGATCGAAGAATTCACAAACAAGGAGGCAGTAGTGATGGAATGGCAGAATCTTCGTCATGATCTGCATATTCTCCAAATTACCGACTATGGAGAACGTAAGTTCTAATCGGTAGCTACCATTTTTATTTTATCGTATGCTTCTGATCTCTCATCCAACACACACGCACTTAAGCATTCGAAACCATATGAAACCTAATTTAATATATGCAAATAAATTACAGGTATGCAAGTACTTAGCGGCAGCGCCCGAGTACCCATGCTTTCAAGTGCTGGGCAAAGTCCTACAAGTTTTCGCAGCCGGTACCTCGGGGGCCGAACGAGGGTTTTCTTCAATAAACATAATTAAGACGAAACACAGGTAAAAATTATTATAACAATTTTGAAAGTATGAGAATTTGAGAAAACTTCTTACTTTTTATTTAGAAAATAGGACTATATTTGATATTGATGAATACCACTTTTGTAGGAATAGGCTTAGCAGCAGACACCTAACAATGCTTCTGAGATGTGGCGGGGAGACATCCATAAAAGCAGACAAAGCGGAATCATTCTTCATGGATGTCTTGCAACATTGGAAAGATTCCAAGCTACGTCGCCACGAACGGGCTGCAGAAGCCACGCCATCCATTTTTATTCGTTCGCTTTTGTATTTTTATTTGTGAATAAAACAAATGTGTGAACTGTGCAATTTTGTTACTTGATATAAGCCTTGTAACTTTCTCTCGTTGAAAACAAGGGTTGACCCCCGGATATTTGGTGGCCACTCATGCAAAATGTATGTTATGATTTGAGAAAAATACCGTCGTTACTTTTTAAATAACAAATTGATAATTATCCGATTGGTTCTGGCTCCCCTGCAAATCCTTTTATGCACAGACCTCATGTGGAAACACCATGTAACAGTTATCTGAAACGAAACATTAATGTAATCCTAAGGCGAAGTTTGGTATCGATCTATGGCCGGCAGTAACACGAATGTGCAAGGCTTTGCTGGTCATTCGAGCAATTGACTCCGGTGGTTGATTGCAGGAAAGTTTCGTTCACGACAGGTGTGCTAGCAGGTGTCCTTTCGTTAGTGATGAATTTGCTTCAAATCACGACAGGTGTTCGCGACAGGTGTGCTTGGCAGGTGTCTTTCTTGCCGATGTATTCTCTTGTTTTAATCAACATTTAAAGGAACAGAAAGACTCTTTTTAATTCGTGAAATTCACAGAATGAGCGCTGTTTCCAGTATTTATGTCTGAAATGAGTTATAACAAAAGCTAGGGCACCTAACTTGTTAAAATCGAAAAAAGCACTTTGTTGTTAAAATCGAAAAAAAGCACTTTCGCACTTTTTTTTTCGACTGCGAAGCACTTTCGCACTCATAATTTCCTTAGAGTTAACACTGTTCTGAACTATAATATATCTAAAAGTAAACCTGATAATGGCAAAACAAAATGAAATTTAAAATGTAGCAAAATATTACAATGGCAGTAGTGGGTGAATAGTAATGACTGGATCAATTGCTGTGAGATTTTCAGTGGTTGAAAATTGTTGTTGTAGCAGGAAGGCTATTTATTCCTTCAATTTATTTAAAAAATTTCTGTGGGCTATATGGGATTCGTTTATCGTTTGTGATGACGTCATCAAAATTGAAAAATGTGCACCTCGTGGCTGCTTCGCGTTCGCGATCGTTGTGTTATGGTGGTCAGTCTGCAAAACTACGGTAGCGTCACTGTGAAAAATTTGATACTCGTACTACTCCGTTTTGGCTTTCGTGTCCATATATTTGAGCATCGCTCTCGTGTTTTAGTTATCGTGACATGCTGGTCTTGCCGAGGTTACCGCAACCTGATCGTCATTAAATTTTCAGAGATCGTTTTGTCGCAGCGTGTCCCTTCGGCAGTTTTCAGTCATTATCATTTTGTTAATCTTAATTAGAAACCCTTAATTGTGCAAAGGTACATTAAATGTCCTTTTTCGCCCAGGACTGCTTTACCCTATAATTTTGCCATCTTTAAACATCTTGTTTTTTGACGTGAATTTTTAGACATGTTTTACTTGTTTATGCAAAATGAAAAATTTAGTATGTAAATAAATAGGATGTACAAACCGATTTAAAAATCTTTTAAGTGAGGAAAATGCGTGAAAGTTCAATAGTTTACATTGAGCGGCCTTGGTTCGTATCTAGAGAAACTGAGTTTACGAATTATTCTTGTGTTGTCTTATGAAGTGGTTCTCATTTGAGTGGGTGGTTAACTGGTAGTAGGTAAATAATTTGATTGGGTTTACAGTTGATTTTGAACTGGTATACGGCAAAAATCATGATATATGGTAATATATTTTCGTTAAATAGGACCTGAATCATGTTTTCGTGGTAAAATAGCCATCTCAAAAAATTCAATTTCAATTACCTGGGTCCAAAATAGATCATTTGAGAATACCATTAATTCGAAAAACCAAAATACTCAGATGAACCCGAATCCGAACTTCAATTACTATTAAAACCTATGTCTTTTTCTCAATCGAGTATACACGAGTGCTAAATATTATGGGTTAGTTAGGCGATATCAGTTAAAATAAATTGAATTACCGTGAAATTCTATTAATAGTTTTTGCGACAATCAACGTGTGTACTCTAAATGTTAAAAGACAAAATAAATTATTGAATTATTTACAGAATTCTTGACAAGTGACAATATACATGCGTCAACGTTTCAAAAGTGGTGTTTATGTAAATGTCATCTCGACATTTGTGTGAAAATCATAAACTAATAAAAAAAAGTCGGGTTCAAAAGTTTGCTCGTGAGTTTGTGGCGCAAATCGAGATGAGATAAAATATTTACATTCGAAAACAAAGATGAAACAATTACCTTCAATAGCAAGCTTTTTCGTTGTTGATTTTACCGACTTAACCTTATCTCGAAAATATTGCGTCACACTTTGTAACACTTCTACTTTTTTGAGTTAGGGTTAAAGTAGGAATATAAAGACCCGTGCCATGTTATGGGTTTGAATGAATATAGTACTCTTGTAGAAGTTCTATAAGTTCTAATACTTGGGGCGGAAAATCAGTTCCTAAACTGAATTACATTCTATATCGAATAATTAAAATAGCTATATTACAGAAGTGACTGTTCATAGCGTTAGGAGTGACCGTTAGTTTCTTAAATCTCTCATATTTATTCTCGCTTTTTTGGTGTCTATTTTAATTGGTGGGCGAAGGTCGGTAACTCCAAAGGCTTGTTTATTTCCTCATATGCCTTCCTGTCAAAGACAACCAAGTTCAAGTGAATGTAGTATTAGCCAATTCCGCAAGACAAACTTCATCAACGGCCCATCCTCGCGCATTTCTAAATATAGTATCATCGTATTTTTGTCTCGGTTTCCATTTCCGCCGGTTCATAAAATAAATTCTGTTCAAACGCTCGCTATCTTGTCATTTAAATCGCTTTCAATTTTCTTCAAGACAAATTACATCGTGTCTTTTCCGTTGATAAAAATCTTGATTGCGGCACGCTTCGCTTTGTGCATTTCCGCGTGAACACCCCTTATACATAGCTCATTGTCGACGAATACATGCATATTTATGTGCCTCACCCCTCACGGGAAATTTAAATAACATGGACAGGGTTGGCTTCGTATAAAATAAGAAATTGGCTCAAAACGGTCATGAATATTCGATAGGGCATCACAGGGGCCAATCATAAGATTATCGAGTTTTTGCCACTCTATGTAGCGTGTTAGGTTTTGGCAAAATCATGCTTGGCCACGTATTGTATAAAGTGATAAATTACCCTTATCTGTGATTTGTCGTTGTGTTATATTAGGCCGGTCAGGTTTTAATTTAAGTACAGAAATACGCCTTAGATTCGATTGTATGTATTTAAATGCTAGTTCCTGCATCTATAATGCATGTTAAGCGTGGATTGCGGTGGATACATGCTTAAGTTTAAATAAGAAAATGCTACGTTTTTTTTAGTCAAAGAAAAAACAAATTTTCGATAGGTGTTGTCGGCTTGTCGCTGGACCCGCAGACTCTTAAAGACGACCGTCCTATCGTTCTATATTGTGAGATTCTTTTCTCCGACTTATGCTTGATGGTACATGAAACAATAAAAGTTGATGTACCACTAAAAGCTGATCTAGGGATAGATCTCGACCAGTCAAAGGTCAATACCCGCTTTAGTGGCGTGAAATCCGCTCGTATTTTTTCGTACAAATATCTGCTTCTCGTGATAAAATATGATTGAAATTATGTATTTGAGAACGGACAGCCGCAAAATTGGCGAAATATTACATTAAATTTTTATGTATGGACTATGGAAAGGTCAGGTATTTTGTGGGAAGCCGCCAACGAACGATTCAAGTCGGAATAAAAAACACACGCAATCGATTTACAGCCACTCAAGAGTACCAAGATCGCAGTTTTTTTTATTTCAATTTAGACTACAAATTACAATAAACATCTGCATGAATTGACATGAACCCGAAATGAAATGAAAACATTAAAGAAGCAAAGTTTGTGTTATATTACTGCAATCGTAATATAATGTTAAATTAGTAACCCACGTGCCTATCTGTACCGTAAATTCATTTGTAATTACCGTAAATTCTTCCACAAGTATTCTTGTTGCATCACAAACTATCATTTCATATTCTAATATTGCATTTGAGTTTAACAAGAAAAAATAACTTATGCGACGCCTTTGGAAAAAGTAAACAGTTAAGAATAGGGATGATTAATATATGCTTCAATTGCAATTTGAATAGCCTCCTCCACTCCGTTGCTATTATTGGACTGCCATATCTACAGTGAAATTGCAATGTTTTACATAAAAGACTTCAAGGCGTTGAGAACCATTAACTGGGATTCTAAACTACCAGGATACTTGGAATTTTGCCTACTGTAGAACATTTCTTCCTTAGACTGGGTACCCCTGCATTAGGATTTGATATAACTTCAGCAGCAACAACCCAATTTCCATAACTTGGTACTTCGTGCCTACGTTCTCAGTCTATCAGCCTATCATATATCGGTTCGACTGTTGGTGCTAGCAGTTCATGCACCTGAAACAACAAACTTACGAACAATTCCCCATGGATTGCTAAACGGACGAGTCTGTATGGTTTGCCATATTATGAAATAGGCTTTTCTCTCGTTTGCTTTAAATATAAAAATCTTATCCTATATGGTTTGTATTTTACAGAAACACCTCCCCGAAGTGGGATCACCGTCAAACGCCAAAAGTCCTACCATCGGCCGAAAATCAAGCAATAATAACAATAGCAACAAAGGAAACAATATTACTAGAGATGATTTGTTCGATTTAGCATCTTCTTCATTGCTAGATACATTAGCCTTCTGTATTGAGTTTCTTGCAACAAGATCACCCGTCCGAGAAGATGGAAAGATTCGACTAAGGTAAATGGAAGTGCTAAAATAAGCAAATGTTACAGAACAGTATTTTCATAACCTGTGAGCAGTCACGGAGGTGTAACGTATACTTCCTTCAAATGTGCGGGTCGGAACCCCGCCTCCTTTTTAAAATGTAAAAAAAAAGCATATTTCTGTATGGTATATAGCAATTTTTCGTAGCTTGAAACGCTTTTCTGAGCCTCCATAATCTTGAAACTTGGCAATTGTAAATTTCAGAAAGCCCTTTGGATATTCCTGGAGGTAGTCGGAATTTCTGACTTAATGTTGGCAATCGAAACAAAATTATCGACTAAAACACGAAAACAACCATTCACGCCAGACAATTAAAATAAGCATACAAAGTTTTTGTGTACAAAGTTTTTTGAAATTAAGTTTACTTGGGCTCGGTAGCTGGAATGATAATCCAAATTTTCTCAGCCTGATTCGTTTTTTAAATGACTCGCAATTTTCCCCAAATCACATCCCCGGTGGTTAGATGTGTTTATGTAGGGGGGCGAAAGTACTTGAATATCAGCAGTGGTTACGCGAGACCAACTCCCAATCTTCCTTGTAGTTTGTTGTAAAATGCTTCTCTGAAAAAGTCTGATTTTGGTCAGAGGAAACCTTGCAGAAATACATTTGTGTTAGCGAGCAGCAGGACTCTTCAATTGTATAATAACCCTAATATATATATGAAATTTATTTGTCAGCGAAAACAAAGAACTGCAACGTGCTTTGAAAATGACCATAACTACGTCATCAAGGTCAGGATCGATGGATGTTAACGACTTGGATCCTAAGAAAGCAACAGAAGGGTTTTTAAATCGAGGATTGGACGTTGTTAGGTATATTTAGTAACTGATTTATAATACATTGATAGTGAATTTTGCTGAATTTATGGTAAAATTTCGGACTTTTTTTAATCATTTAAGGAGCAAAATTATTCGAATAGCTAATATCATTTAAATCTTGCCCATCTGAGTTAGCCTCACCTCGTGGTTCGTCATGTACAGACATCCAAATGTCTTCTTCTGGAGAATCTTGCTCTGGGCGAACACGGGACCTCGCATTGCTTCAATCTATATCCCTGTTTATTATTATCATTTTTGTATTTTTAGCTACATCGTGAGCTGTGGAGTTCTTGACAAACTGAGCACTTATCTTGGAAGCATTACAAGTGAAATTGAAGCTCATAGTAAAGCCGGGTCGTTTATCGGCAACGGACTCTCGTTTTTGTATTCCGTGACTGACTTTGTAGCTTTGAGGTATGTAGTGTTTATAATAGTATTTTATGTTTTGTCAAGTGGGGAGATATTGAGCAAACAACTGTCCACACATAGGGATTAAAGTGTTTAAATTCTGCTTTTCGATTGATCGGATGACGTCATACATAAGGTGTGGCTTTTCGTACTGCTTGGAATACTATGGGGAATGTATAAAAATGATCCGAATTGATTGCATTCGTTCGTGTTCGTTACATAATCATTGGTAAATTTTCAATTAGACGAAAAAACTCATATCTAGGAGCAGCATTATTTATTATTTGCCTATTTTATTCCATTTCCACCTCTCATATGCGCCGTTTAAATAATACAGTGCTCCTCTCTGATTTTGACTGATCGTGAACTAGAGGGAAAGCACCTGTGAAACCCAAACCGATTTTTGAGCGACCGATTTCGCCAATTCCACAATCTAGGCGACTTGTGAATAAAAATATTGTTTTATATTATGTATATGTTGTCACCTGTTCGTGTGTATTGCAATCCTTTGTATATACCAGCATAATATTTGTCTTCTGCTTCTGTCAGGAATAGAGTTACTTCTGATGCTAACGAAGGAAGAAGTAGAAGAACAAGTACCAGCAGTAATGCCTCTGCACAAAGTGTCGACAAGATTTCGTTAGAAAACCGTAACCCATCAACGCTTTTCGACCCCCAATCTTGGGACAGTGACCCGACTCAGCTTTTACCCACTTTGTTTCATACGGAAGTCATGGGGGTCGTAAGTGTTCTATATGGAATTCTACTTCACGGTGCACCCGAAAGACCCATATTATTACGTAACAATTCAATTCAAGCGTTGGATGACGTCACGTCACCTCCACAAAAGAACATTCCTGATCACGTGCTCCATATCGCAAAATCCGTTTTCTCGGTCTTAAACGCAGTCGCTGATCTAGACATCCAGTTATTACAGGTCAGTATACTTTGTCGTTCAAACTATTTTCATATTCCAATTAGGGATCCACGAAGCTGAGTTTTTCTTTTCTACACGATTTTCCATATATAATAAATTCATAATGTTATTCATGTTACCAATACAGAAAAAATCATACAACATACCCAATACCAGTCTCAGATCATTTAGGTTCGCCCTAAAAATAATTAGACATTTAGGAGTACAAATGCAAGCAATATGCCACAAAACTCGCCCGTATTTTTCGTGTGTTAGTTAATTTTTAGTTTTTACCATAGCGTGCAATTTTTACTTCTTATTTATATTTTATAGTTAGGAAATTGTTACCGAGTAAAACCAGCACTATTTGATATTATCAGTATAGCAGTGTTCTTTAAATTTTTTTATCACGAACGCTTATTTCGCGACCCTGAATACCTAAAATAAAAATAAAAATTTAATATCACAGAAAATAGTAAAAAAAATTGACAATACCTTTAATAGGACCGATGTGTGTGCATATTCTCGCACAAAAGATCGAATCTTGGCTTTATTTCGATGATGGTGGTTCTAAATACTGGTACCATTCCAAATTTAAAATGAACCACGACTGTTTGAAATAGTTATACTTTCGTGTTACGCCAACCCCGTTTCGATTTTTTTGCCAACTCACATTCCGGCGTTGATAAATTTCTGACGCTTTACAACGTGTTGACATCGGGCGTCGTCACCTGGTGTTAGAGCAAGTTGACAAAGCGTGAGAGCGGCAGACGACTTTTAACTTAACACGTTTATCAAATACAAACTGTTGGACAATAATAGATCCGGCCCGGCGCAGGCGACGAAAAACAAACAAAGCCGAAACGAAAATCAACAACAGGTCCAGGTTCTTGTTTCCGGTTGAAATACAAGACACAAAGCGGGTGGAGGTGACGAGTGAAACGTGGTTTATACGTCATACTTGACTTATATACTGGTGTAGGAAATTAGCGAGGTCACGTGAAAGTGTTGAGATATCGACTACGGTATTTCGCGCATACATGAATTCATTACATTGTTGTCTACGGAATTGACCGAAATTAAACGAAGCATTTCTGTAAAAATATTTTTTTATTTTAGCTTTCACGCGAATTCAATCGACTGAAATTGAGATATTCGCTCGCCATTTACGTTCAAATAACCTGGACTATGTCGAATGGTGGCTTTATCATGAATTATCGTTGTTGGGCGCGAAACTGATCTATACGGTTCTTCCAAATTGCTGTTATTGTTGTTAGTAAGACAAGAAAATACTTTCTTTTTTACCAATCGCTCTCCAATTTTCACAAATTAGTAGTTTAAATAAGTTATTTTTTCCGAAGTTCCGAGTTTTCGCTGTCACGTAGGTTTTAAATTGAATAGACTTGCAAATGGCCACTCAACGAAATGTGTATAACGTTACTAGTATACGAACTCGCAAGGTTATACATTTAAGTATTTGTCTCGTATTATTATTATATTATTCATACACTTCTCCGTTTCCGTTTTTGTGTTCTGCCTGTCTTACAGGGGAACGTTTTTGTCGGGAATGATCCGCCATTTTGTGCCCACATCAATTTCGATGTACTAAAGCCATCTACGGTCGTTTTTATCGGAATTGGCATGACAACTAAATTAGAAAATTATTCCCCTGTGCGCGTGCCCATCGCCACTAACACCATGATACCGATGCCTGTAATGCGGATAAGTCCCAATCATCCTATTCAAGATGAGATGGTATCAAGGTAATCGTTAGCACGCTTCGACTCTCGCTGTAATTCCCTTTACTTTTTCACCGGGTTTCACCTTATTTTATTAGAGTACATTTTGACACTTTTGCTTATTAATGCGCAAAATAATACGTTTCGTATTAAGGGTATTTGTTACTTCCGTGTAGCCATTCTGTATATTATTTAAGATAAGTGATTTTTAAGCTGATATTATTTTTGAAAATTTGTTGTCTATATAGATACAAGTGTTTCAGAATAGAATGTGTCGAAAATCATTACCGTTCTCTCGGAATCGCGTGCGTGAATTTGGAATTTGAATTTGTGTGACTAGTCCAATACCAACATTCGGTGACGCGTAGAGATTTTTATCAGTTCCAACTGCGCAAACAATCCCCAATATATTCAGTTGGCAATTGTTTCTTTGCACTGTCGAACTAGTTATGATTTACAACCGACATAATTTTCGCTTTATTCTTCGACTGTGTAAACTTTAATATGACCCTCGTGCCCTGGGTTTAAAAAGTATCAAACTCTCCCTAGCCAATGCAGACTCAAACTTTAATCCATGCTTACGTCATTTTAAAAAGACTCTTAAGTGTACATCTACAGACTTCTGTGGGTTCTGCTATATATGCTAAATGTATGTTTCGTAGCGAGATGGGCCGGTTGCACATAGCACCGGTGTGAGTGAGATATGCTGTAATTGTTGTATTAGTTTGGCATTCTCGGTGTGATTATACAAGTCACCGTTCCAGTGTTACAATTGTACTTCATTGGCAATACACATGAAACTGTCATAAAAATCAAACCTGCTGTCAAATTCGGCAGTCCTGGATGCCCTCTGTGGAGAAGGCTATTCAAACGGCGATTTGAACCAAATTACCATTCTGGTACCACAGGATGTATGTATGCAATTGCCAAAATTTTTGACATCTTAAGACAGACAATAACAATAATCACTTATTGTCATCGCCACACCGTTGCAAATGCTAATAATGACGTTGACACAATATTAGTTAGTGAGTATCCAAAATATTTCCGTAATCCGACGTATTATTTCAGCCATTTTCACAATTTCGGCTATTTCAAGTCTGTCGGTATTGACTATCGAAACGTCGGTAAAATAAATAATATTTCGGGCTCATTGGTGGTTCTATTTGGGTATTCCTGATATATTCTAGAATTCTTGTCGGAATGATCGGAGAAATGTATTAATTAAAATTCTCATCAGAATGTACCGTGTATGAATCTGATTCAAGAACTGAACAAACTTTAATATAGAATTGATCAGTCTTTCATCCGTTTTAATTAACTTCGAAATTAAATTCCGTCTTCACACCTAATCCCATCACGACTGTGGGTCATTGGTCAAACTTTGTTTGTCCATTCCAGAAATCGAGAAAAATGGATCTTATCGCACCAACTTTGAATTGCGCCGCAGAGTGCGTTACGGTTGGTATACAATCGGCCATGTTTTATTTGAGTTGCACGTAGTGCAGTCGATTGTCTCGCCATAAATGGTGAAAGCCATTCATGTTACATTTATAAAAATATTGTTCTGTGCAGTATTGTCAAACACAGCCAAATTTAGAAATGGCCATATTATTGAAATGGCCTGTATAAGCTTTTGTTTCTACTTTAGAACTTCAGTTATTCGCCCAGATAGAACTTGGGAAATGAAAAAGTTTTGGGAACGGTGTCGAGCAAGTCAATGCATACATCGAGACGGTATCGCCAATGAATTGTTCTTCAGATCAGCCGTACATGAGTTTGTTGCGTTTTGTTCAATAACAAAAACAAACCATTATTACGTTAGTTTTTAAATTGTTACAAATTATCAACAAACTCGTTATACAGTTGTTTTCATTTCTGTTAAATCAAGCTTCCCTAACGACCCAGACCGGTAAGTTTTACCTCATTACGCACGGCCGAGTCTTGGCAGTTGATCGGCATTGAAACTAAGTACACCAGCCGTGCTGGATCTGACATAAAATACCCGCGATCAAACCTTTCAACAGTAAACAAAACACCAAAATAAAACATACACGAATCTTATTAGTGAACGCAAGTTTATTTATTCGCCACAAGCTGGCTAGGCTGCCTTCATATGCGATAACATCAGCTAATATAACCCCGTCGACCCCGTGGATTATCCCGCCAACCTATGTTTACAAATTTTCTCCACTAACTCATTACGTCATTTTCTCGATTTTGTCTAGTATTAAAATACCATTTTCTCGTCTCATTAGCAGTGTTACATGTGGGGGCTGAAGCCAAAACATACTAAACAAACCATGTGAAACTTTGACTTATTTACATTTTCAAAAATTGTTCGGTATGAAATAGCCTCGAACCTGGTTACGTACGTTATTAATATTATAAGTGTAAAAATATCTTGAACAAAGTCATATTAAATAATATTTTAAAAGATAGGAGGTTTCCAATTTCATCCAGTTAATCTTTAATAGTGCTAAACAGCTACAACTTTGAAATACCACTGTCGTATTCCCTAATTTACTCGACCTCTTAGTATCCGTTCTACTCTGACTTGTTTCTGCTCCGGATAAACAATCCTTAAGACTCCAACTCGCAGTTGAAAAATTAGACACCTATTCCGGGCTAACGAACTTTTGACTACGAAAATTGTTTTGGAGGTTTCTTTTAGTTTTAGTTCGAAATTTTCAATCCCGACGTTGGGAATTGGAAGACAAAGTTCCATCTCAAATTAAAATTCCAACAGACTACAAATCCTTGGTTATTTAAATTGTTCGCGATTGCTAACTATTTCAAGTTCAAAATCTTAGTTTGACATCTTACATTGGTTGCCCTGAACGAAGTTACGAGTTACGCGATTGGCCACGAATCGGGGTCACCAAAGAATTGTTTCTTATTTCATAAATAAACTTCCTTAGGTAGTTCAGAATAAATTTGTGTTGTTTGTTGTGTTGACTATGATATTTGTTTATGTCCTGATTTTAGGGATGACTATGATATTTGTTTATGTCTTGATTTTTTTGACAATATCTCTCACGATTTCGTTACTATGGTAATTGAATACGGACGTCATTCACTCGTGATTGTGTCCGAATTATTGACTCTTCCCATGTAATAACTTGTTTTTATCAACAAAAATATGAAACAAATCGTGTACTACAAACCCTCTACAATGTACCATCCGTGAAGTGATATTTTACAAGTTTGTTTTACGATAATATACAAATAAAGCAAATAAACATCATTCATTTACCCTGGTACTGAGCTCTATGAATGAAAATTTATTTATCTGAGCCTTTCACTCGACAGACTTTTATCTCTGGGCGATCACTGAATACCAAAAGCGACTGAAACCCTACAGATTCGGGGTTGTGCATTATCCCATAGTATATTCTCATTGGCCAATGATTTGAATATTTGGGAATTCCTGTTTAATGATCAGAAAAACAGCTACGATGTCTGAATTATCATCGTCCATTTTCTCATTTCCATTTCAGGCATTTATTTTAGAGAAATTGTAAATTGATGTCATCCGAAAGAGGCGTCATATATAAGACTTCAGTCAGTAAATATTACCATTTTCTTTTATATTAAATTCTGATGCATCCCAAATTTACAGAGGTGGATTGGCCATATATGCTTTAATCGTCCTGACGAGTAGAACCCATTTAGATTTTCTGAATGAAGTAATTTTTATATACCGTTGTCATGGAATACGAATATTATACCACCAGAGTCAATTTGGATATAGCTCTTCTAACTTATACTTCCTATTTTATTGTTTTGGGTGAGTACTTACGACCGAACTGTGCGACTACCTTTGACTTGTGGTGCGAACGTCAAATATGATTTGTTGTAAATATATAACATGTATGAAACCACGAATTACCGATACATAAAAGTTTATGTTTTGTTGGCTTGACTGACTTCACACCCAATTCGAGACGTTCAGGAGCCGTTTTTCATTTACTGTCTGAGTGCAAGTTTATGTCCGCATGATAAGCTTGATTTCAATAAATCAAAACATTTGTTCAGGGTTAGGCACATTTACGTAAGAAATCGGCTCTATGTAACAAACAAAGCCACAAAATTGAAACCTATTAATTGGTTATTCTCTTAATAATTCACTCGATATTAGGATACAATGATTTATACTACTGTTTATGAGCTTTAACAGAAAGTCGTTTGAAAAAGTGGTACAACAGTTAGCACAATTATTTTCAGTTTCACATTTTTTCAATTATTTTTACAATTTCAGACCAGAAAGCGTTCAAGATATTATTCTTTGGTACAGTCAGAATGGAACGACAATTGAAATAAATCTCTAATATAGTAATTTAGATAGTAATATTTCATCTTTAATGCCAAATTACGCTCAAGTTTTATGTCCTACGTAATTTACTTTTGTATAGCATTGTCAATTAGGTAGATTAAGTACTGTGGTATTATGTGATGGTGAGAAAACTTTTTCTCCCAACTTTATACATTATTTACTCTTGCGTCATTTAACCACACTGCATAGAATGTTTAATGTCCCTCCGTGTTAAATCAGGTTTATATCATTCCATCAAAATGCTTGGATTGCAGATTCTAGGGAATGAAAATGTCACGTCCTCATCGCGGAAAACCCCAATTCAATATTGACCTACAAGAACCCACCCATGTTTTTTACACTTTACAAATTCTATACCCATGTCCTAGATAAGGTCAATAAAAGTTGACATAAATCTTAGCTCATAGCTCATACGGAACAAATTTATCCTTACTAATATAGATAAACGTTTCATTACCGCAAAAGACCGATCTAAATCGACGCCATTTTACATCTTCCGGTACTCTATTCGATATTTTGTGTATTTCTGAGTCATCCGATAAAATTGTGCGGGCAGCAATGAATCGTGATTCGATTACGGATTCTCGGTTGCATTCGCACACTTATATGAAGATAAAGATCGTGGACACGTATACCAATTGCATGACAATGGATATTTTGAAGTAAAGTAAAAATAAAATTTCAGAGTAATGAAAAAATAAAATTTTAAGTTAAATTTTGATGTTTAGGGCACGATATTGGTGCGTGCAATCCGCGTGTTATCTTTGTGATCTATCTTGTCTAAAATATACATTGATTTGGATGATTTTCATCGCGTGTAATCAATCAAAACAATGATCTTATTGCAGCAATTTTGTAATGTGCCATTGGCGCTCATGTCACGGCCCCGAGGGCGTTGTCGTACGAAGTCTATTTTAGATTAATGTGGGTTATAGACGCGAACCGATTTCATTTAAGCAATTTATGTCGTTTAAGTTGTAAGGAATTTTTTTTAGAATGTGGCCCCCTCGATCGAGCCATATATTTATATACCAACATCAGGAATAAAAATATTCTGGTATTCATTTGAATATAGCTCCATTCAATTGTATGGACCACGCTATATTACGATTTCGTTAGATTGAGGCGATGGTAAATTTCAAACTTCATTAATCCCCTACGTACGTTCCATTTACCTTTCAAATACGATCCTTTGGTTAGAAATCCAATTCATGTGCATTTAAAGAATTTTGCCTTGTCTGCTTGTCAATGGTGCCCTTTTGGAGTCGATGTTGCGTGTGTGTTGTATTGAATAATAATAAAATACGAAAATCTTTGTAAGAATTCGCAAACTTGACAGCAAATTTCCCAAATAGAAAAAGCGTACGATTAGTCTTTTTTTTAATTATTTTTATAACATTGTGAAGTCGTAAATCACACTCCAATTGAATCGTCACAATGTCAATTTTTGTTGCAGGAAAGTCTCGGAGCAGAAGGAGTGTCACTTGAATTTCGACACATTTGCACATATTTATTGTGGTACTGTCAACATGATGGTGAACACGAAATATTATTGCACGAAGTTATCGTTTGTGTCGGCCATTTCGCACTGTGCAACAAGAAAAATCAGGTATGATATTTTTTAAAAAGCTGTCTTCACAGTTACATATTCACTGTATTACGCGTGATCTTATGACACTCATTCGTCATAGTTTATGAGACTTGAGGCGCTCAAGAGATAAGCGCGCTGCCTATGAATCTTTTAGCCATCATATGAAAGATCTCTGCCGTGGTTGGTTACGGAATTGTGCGAATTTAGATGAGATCTCAAATTAATAAAGTTATATTTTACACTTTTATCCCTTTTTGTTGTTGCTCATTGATATTTTAATAATTGCCCCATACATATTCTTGAATTTCATGCAGAGGAAAAGTAGACTCGTTTACTCGAGTGAATATACGAAATTAATTTTAAATATTCTTTTCACATATTGTTTTCACAACAAAGAGGACAACTAACCGAATAACATAACGAGCAATTATATTTTGTATATATATACGTGTCATTGACTTACATAAATGTCATGTATAATGGTGCCGACTTTGCTGACCCGTAATTGCAGCTGTATTGCCACATCAGTGTGTTATAATATAGTATTTGTAACACGACAACGACAACACAAATTAATTTCTGTTGCCATAGACTAAAAATGACAAGTATACTATAAGGCTGGGACGTTTAAATAATTCAAACCTAGTTCAAACAAAGGTCAAAAATAGTGCTTATTGGGAACCGTATCGAGATGGCTGAAAATTACCGATCTTTCCAAAACTAGTTACCGGTAATCTAGTGGTAATGCTTTGCAGAGGAAAATATTTCATTCTGTAAATTTCCTTATTCTAATAGGAAATAAAATGATTGACGATTACATCGAAATCGAATTGTATATATAGTGGGCCTAAAAACAGAAACCCAGGTCATTTGGAACACATTCTAGAATCTAGAGAGATAACTTATGTAAAAAGCTTCCTAGTTTACTAAACTTTTAGGTATAGATCTTACACTAACAGAAAATTCAGATGTTAAATAAATTTTTCTCATTCTCGTAGAAGTACCCGAGAAGAAATTTATGAGTTCTGGTTTTTGAAGTCCCTGTATTTTCGAAAATTATCGGGCTTGCAATCAATTTCGTTTATGTTGAATGAATATGTTGAAAATATACCAAAAGAAAAATGACAAAATATGTCAAATATCAATTTTGCTTTGCAGTCTAAATCGTAATATTGTTGGAAAATTTAGTAAGAATTCCCATCTTTTCAAATGAGATGTTTCTACTGAATCATACAGTCATCCATATTTAGCAATGACGGATGCTACCGAAACACAATGTTCTTGAAAATTATCATTTTCGAATACCATTTAGTTCGAAACCAAAACTAATTCGATTTTCCATAGACTATACAGGTTTATTTAGAAAACTCTTTTCGATAACATTTATGTATGGTATTTTCATTGTCGTATTTTGACCTTAACTCTGAAACTGTGAAGGCGACTAGTTCCACTAGTTTTGAGTTACAAGTAATTAAAAAACTATCCTAGGCCAAGTTTGAAACATTGTTCTAAGGACTAACTTGGGGTTGATTTAAACTTTAACCAGACATGCCAAATCATAATTTATAACGCCGCCTATTTTAATTAGACATTTTTATGCGATATAATCTAACCTTTAGCGACGCTAGTTTTCTAGAAATATGATATCTATCGAAGATCACAGGGAAACTAAAATAATACATCATCTGATAATAGGTAGGGTTTAATGTCACATCTTGTTTATGTGTTTATTGCATTGTCATCCGCTAATATTTACCATATACTTGGTATTTATTGTCGTGAAGACGTCAGTGGTGACTTATCCACGTGGTATTTTCGTTGCGTGGGTGTCTATTAGCAATGCATATCATAAGATTATTTATTGTTATTTATTACGACAAATGCATGAAAATTTTCTCTCTTTACAAGTTTTGAATAGGAAAAAAAAACCATCGCGGTCTATGATTAATTACATTTATTTTTTGCTTTTTTTTAAACGACAAGGAATTTTAAAGTTTTACTGAAAACAATTTAATTCTGTTTGCAGAGGCTGTAGTGGTTTTGTGCTTTATAATCTTAAATGGGAAATCTTAATAACTTGGACAATTTATAATACCAAAAATCATGACTAACATCTCGGTGAAGGTATTCATCAAAATCATTTTTTGTGAGATGGTGTCTTGTCGCTGTACACAAGGCTGCTCATAACTTCCACCATGTTGTAGATTGTTTTTAATGTCTTGAGCGGATGTTCAAAACATTTTCATTAATATTTATCCTCTTGATGACGTCACTGGAAGTTGGACCTTCTACAGTTATGTTACTTGTGTTATCAATTATCATCTACTACAAACAGAGCTTCTCATTGAAAATACACTTAGCATTGCTTTGAAGGAGAATGGTATCGGATGGGCTTCATCAGAAACTTTGGCTTGTGCGGATGAAATACTCCACTGCCTAGCGGTGTTACACATATCAGGTTGTTTCAAATTTCATACCCACTACGTTGTCAAGGGTGTAACATTTTAGGCAATACGGTATAGGAAAGATTTCAGTTTTTTTTTAAATAATAACTCCTCACCTAGCAATGGCTGCTTATACAGGGCCTGAAGCAAAAGAGTGGCGTATAAAATAAATAGAAAACGCTTCATTCAATTGACTAACGTACCGGACCATTCGAATGATCCTTTGAAGTAAATGAACTTGTACGTTCACGTGGATAAGATCTTATGTTACTCTGTTGCAGGCATGGTTTATGAAGTTGATTCAACGTCTATTGCAGTAATGTGCCCTTTTATTTTACAATTTTATTCTCATCTTACAATGCATACCTCGTGGTTTCTACAAATTGATTTTCCAATTGAAAACCAGAAAAAAATAAGGAGCATGATACTGTGGTCTTATTGATCTTCAAGGATCACTTTTTACCAATGGACAAAAAGCAGAGTCCCGTTAACATAATACAAGTGTGCTGTGCCCCCCTGGTAGAAGTGGGATGAACTCCTAGGCTGTCATTGATACAAAGTAGATACCGTAGGCTGTATTAAAACCATTTGTCTTTATCATTTCTTCAATTGTGTTTCTCAATGTTTAAAAATACCGATGTGTTCATTCTTTGATTGGATTACAGCGTTCTGTTTTCTATTTAGTTCACGGTTATTACCGTTTGATAAATTACAAAACGTCAGTTTCAGGTGATAACAGAAACCACTCGCTTAAACTACTCCTACTGTACAAATATTTTGGAAATCTATAAACTCAAAATAATTTTTTTCTTGGTAATAAATCAACACAATAATTACCAAATTACACATTCTCGCCTTTGAATTTGTAATTGAAAACTTCACTTGAACATACCTTGACCGGAGATAAATCTAGCTGGAATATATTTCTTTGATGGATTATTGTTTTGCCCTAACTAAAAAATTTAAACCAGTATTCTGTGTTAATAATTGCGCTCTTCCATCCATCAAAATTTTGTTTATGCATGCCGACTGATTTTTTCAACAATGTTAAGGAATGCGGAAAAGTTTCAAAAAAGCTATTTTTTTCTGACCAATTTTTTTCTCTTAATCCGATTAGACCGGTAATTGACCCCGAATCGCCTTTGTTTTATTCGATACTGATGTATTAGTTGGTTATTCGTAGTATACCCTTTTGCTTACAGTACAAATTTCTTCATATTCTATAATATATAAACTTTTATCGCTTCTTTTCAATCTTCCTTACGGGAATTTGTGTCAATAGACATATTTTTGTTTTGAATATGCCCTTTCCAAATTATTTTTAAAGGAAAAACAACTGTTGTGCACTCACAGATTGAGGATTCTGATTTTAGTCTGGCGGTACTCCGGTCAACCCATCATCATCTCGTTCGCGGTATACTCATGTTTCTTTGTTATTCCTAACCCAAGATATTGCTGTCATTTGAATCTTTTACAGTAGTCCCCTACCCATAACACCAAAACCAAATAATCTACTACGTCTAAAACATTCTAAAATAATATTTTTGGATATGAAATATCTAATATATTTTAAATTGGTTCATGTTAAAGAAAAGAGGAGTCAATGTAAATTCAGTTAGTTTAAATTTAGAAATATAGAAAAGTTGAAATAAACATTGAACATTTTGAAAAAATTTCGATTTTAAATAAATGAATTTATGAATTTTTCTGTACCGTGAGACTTCAATTGCTCAAATTATTTTTTTCTAAATGAATTGTTCCTAAAATCAAGGATTTTAAATATCAAATATAATAAAATTCAGAATCGAATCGGATATTCGATTTGTTTTAATTCATTCCTGCATATAAATGTACCCTTGTTCCGTGCAATGGAAAATATGTCGATATGTATCAGAGTAGCACAAAAACGGAACCCATAAATTCCATGATTATTACTTCTACGAAAACTGAAAAAAAGTATTTAATTTTGTTTTCGCTTGAACTTCTGTTCGTGTCTGATTATACCGAAAGTTTTCAAATTTTGGACCGCTTTGTACAAGAGTTATGTTCTCTCTTGAATACATTCCAAATTACGGTACCTTTTTGGCATTAGAGACAGACTCGCATCCGTTGCACAAAATCGTCAGTATGTTGTCCTGGCTTTTCAAACTTTTAGTTAAGGTTCCTCTTCCATCAACCTACATGAAAAGTGTTCAGTTTGTTTAAGATCGTAACCACATAATCTTGTCTATCTTTGTTCTAAGAACGTCTGACGTTTGTTTCCGATTTTTTTGCCTTTTAAAGCTAATTTGTTATGATGATAGCTCATTCATCATATTTTTGAATATCTTCCAAAATCTATATTTATCACATATTCTAATTGCACGTAAGTTGAGTTCACCGTCCATTTTAACTTTGAAATATCGACGCTGGGGATGTACATTCAAGTTCCTCCAACATACGGTAAAATTAGACACATTGAAATGTGACGACTCCCTGTTTAACAGAACTGATGCTTTTGTTGAAAATTTCAATCACGTGACCAAAATCGTGATATCTGCCATGACATACCATGTATTTGTGTTATAAAGCTAT